GAGGTCTGCCACGCCATGTGGTCACCTCCAGGGCAGGCGGGGTTCTAACTCATGCGGAAGTGGCTTTAGATTCTCAGTGCAGTGCTTTAACCCGCTGCACCACCTGGGAGAGCCCCATACCTTAAACTTTTTAACTGAATTTATTTTCCTAGATTTATGGCATTGTTCTCTAAATTTTATTGGTTTCATGGAATTTTGGAACTTAGACATGACTGCCACATAAGCTGGGCTTATCAGTACTTAGTTTTATAGTGGAAAAATTATTTCCTTTTTTCACATTGCATGCAAATATTTTACATATGTGCATAAATTGTTTTATAGTGATTAAAAGAAAAGTTTATTTTACTGTATTTTCCCCTCAAATAGGACTCCATCCCACATTGATTGTGATTTATCTTCTTTTATAATCTTTGTACTTCATTTTGTGTTTTCAGTGAAAATTTAATGAAAACATTCTTTTGAAGCTATTTCCTGGTCACTAAGGCAAGTACTAACTTTTATAACTAAATAATGCTGGAGGAGAGGAATTACATAAGCTAATTATTATTTCTTCCCAGGTCTATACTACACAGGCTTATTGCTTGTTTGTTTCAATTCACTTCTGATGACAAACTGATTTCTACTGTTAGTGAATTAATAATATAAATTATCTACCATATCAGCATTCTAACTTTAAACATTAAATAACAATGTTTCTAGAATATTCTTTTTTCTCCAAAAGTTGTTTGACAAATGTTTAGACTATTAAGAAGGAAGTCTAGTTTGTCCTAGATATTGTGGTCCACTGAAACTATAATATTTAACTTAATAATCCTAAAAGTGAGATTACAAAGATGCTATTAATTCTTAACCTTAATACTGAAGGAGGCATTTCTCTAGTGCTTTTTTAGCATATAGACTGTCTGTTACTAGAATTATTACTTTACTGTTTTAGAAGTATATAACCAACTCATGTTTCCAGATATATGGGTAACACTGAAATAAAAAGAAATTAAGAAAAGTTTTGAAGTAAAAGGAGAAAGTATCATAAGTAGAAAACAAAAGTGGCTAAAATATGTAAGATTAAAGATAGGATCTAACTTATTCTATTTCACATTATCATAATATTCAGACAAAGGAAGTGAACATTTCAACTGAAATTGACATTTTCTAAATCTATTACTATTTTCTTATTCTATTGCTGTTTGTAAATATTTCTGAAAACTCAAATTTATAATCCTTTTTACAAAGGATACAGATCCTAAATCCTAAAGCAATGATACTGCAGTATTCAATAGCATAAACTAAAAAAAAATATGGAGGTCTTCTTTCCTGTAGAAAAAATAGCCATTCTTCTAGTACATGATTTGTAATAATTCTGGCTACATATTAAATATGGGCTTGTATTTAATGTCAGAACCAAACTTTTAGGTTCACCAACACTTTGACCAGTTCAACCAGTACATGTGGACTTTACTCCCTGTAGAAGAATCATGAAGATCAGAGAAACAGTATCTCTAGAGAGCAGACACTGATAACTTCCCTTACTATAATGCTTTACAGATAACAAAGAACTTCATCAGATTTTCAAGTTGAGATAAGTTTAAGTGATTTCCCATGATCACATATTAACAAGTGAATTTTTGATTCTTTGTCATTTGATCTTCTTATCATGGACCACAAAGTAAACTTAAAGACAAGGACAACTCAAAAATTCTCGTTTCTACTTCCTGCTATCCTCTAGCTCTGGGCACATCTTTATTTGAATATCTGCATTTAGTTTTACAAGATTATAAATGTCTTACTGCATGCTTTCATCCATTGGTCTTACCACCTTTTCTATAATCACTAACATCCAGTCTCAAAAAAGGAAAAATCTTCAGAAGATATTTACACATTAACAACTTACTGATAGAAGGTTCACTTTTTTTTTAACCATTTCTACATCTTGAGAATTATTACACAAACCTAAGATTCCTTAGCTATGGAAAAGGACAAAAGAAAGTAAAGGTTGTGCTGAAATATACCAAAATATGTAAAAAGAGTTATCTTCTGAGGAAGCAACAATTCTAAAAACATAAATTAGAGCCCAAAAGAGTAGACAGGTTGATGAAATGGAGCTCCTATAATAGCAGAAAACATGAAACTCATCATTACATAAATGAAAATATTCCTAAATTTGCTATGCATATATTGTTAGAATAAAAAATTGGTGTAGTTTTACATATTAATATTATTTTTGTACTGTGGGTAATTCCCTTATTCTACATAGAATCCATGGTGAGAACATGTCTTACTGCAAGATTTTTGTTTTGCTTATATTACATATCTGCAACATTTCCATTACTTTTATATAGTCAGCAATATTTAAGTTACATTATAACTATAGCTTCTACAGAAATAAAGCTGCAGAACAATTGTTTTTACATTATTAGTCTAATTTTATTTTCTCTAAAAGAAAGTCACCAGATTTCTTATATGACTGTCAACTTTTACCCAGTAGAAGTCTAAATGGGTCCATTTCTTCTCCAGTTTTTGGACATAAAATTTTAAAACATGTCACAAATCTAGTTGTTTTAAATTTTTAAAATTTATTTTTGTCTCAGTTTTACTCTTTCCATTAACAGTTATTTACTATTTGCTAATATCTAGTGGACCAGGAAAACAAGATTATAGTTTAAAATTTTAAATTGTGAAAAAATAAAAGCCCTGGTTCAGGCCAGAAAAAGTACCACCATGTATATTACATCATATTCCTAAACTGTGATAGGCATTTAATAGAAAGGTGGGTAAAGGTAAATAAAGTAGGAAGCTATATCATTATCTTGAGTACAAAACAACTACTATATGAGCTATTTTTTAAATGCGAATCATGAAAGGACCAACTTTTACAGTATGGATTAACAGAAAAAATAGGCAATTCTTACAGAACACTGAATGTTTTCTCTCTATGCAGTTAGTTAAGTGTATTTGTAAGATTATGATGAATAATGTATTTGACTTTTGCAATGGGCTCTTTTTTTTCTAATAAATGTACATGGAATAAGAGATTCTAACTACGTAAGTTTTTTTTTCACTACCTGTGCAAATACCAATTAGTTAAAAATTAGTTAAAAAAATATTTTCTTATACAGAGGTAAAAATGTTTTATCAATTGCCAGGACCACAACACTGTATCTAATGCAGCTTATCACTTACAGAAGGATGTTATTAATATAACAGTACAAATAAAAAAAAATTGTCTCAGAAAGTATTAGCAATAAGTGTGCTATAAACATGATGAAAGCCAGTAAATTAATGTAAACAAAAGTGACACCTTAACATACAGGAAGCTTGTTTCAGATAGAAAAATATTATTTTCCATACATATTACTATAAGACACACAAGTAAATTCTAGTCATTGCAGTACTGTTGGATGAAAGAACCATAAAAATTATAATAGATTGATTTTATACTAATACAAAACACAGCACCATGATTAAAATTATTACATTAATGTCATGAAAAGTCAAGATTCATTTATGATCACTGCAGCATATAAACAAAGTGAACTTGGATATAACTGTATGAATTCCAAAGATGCTAAAAGGATTTAAACCTTTCAATTATATTTTTAGATTATTCTTATCACATACCTCTGTTCGCGATAGTTTCTTTTCATGGATAAGAAAGAGAAGGGAAAAAAGAATTAGTTACTTTTGGAGATACATTAAGGAGAATAAAACATAAAGGCCCTAGCATTCATTGAAATACATCCATAAGATGACTTAGAACTGTAGAATTAAAATGGTGAATATAAACACAGACATACACATACATATTTTATTATTAGAAGTGACATCAAAGGATTAGTGACCATATTTTTTCATTGACCATCTATTTTTAAAAGAGTTAAGTTTTAGTTATTCAAGTACAATGGTTTTTTCAATATTGATTGTATCATTTTAAACATTTAATAATGCTCCAAAGCCTATTACATTTCAAATATAGTATCTCACAAACAGGCACTGATTAATGAAAATAATCAAGTTAACTACATAAACTAACTGTTTTCATGGAAATAACAACCATAATTATTTATTTTGTAATATATACTCCCAACTAAAGCTCTTTCTAGACCTTCTAATAGGAGAACATAAGTGAACACTACAACATTTTATTTGTGTATGATAAAGTGAGTTAATTCATTGCAGCTATGGAACTAAGTTATTACCAGATCCTCAGTGAAGTGTCACATTAGAAATACTTTGATCAGAGCCCTCCCTGGTGGCGCAATGGGTTAAAGCACAGCACTATGAACTATCCTCAGTCACTTGAGTTCCACATGGCATGGCAGACTTTTCCTGACCTTCCTGCTGTTCCCCTCAGCAGTGCATTTCAGTAGATCTGCCAGATCTGCTCCTCACTCTGTCTCTAGTGAATCCTCACCCCTCTACCTCTGGCCTGTACCACATTTCTTATATGCATAAATAAATAAATCTTCAAAAAAAAAGAAATACTTTGATCAAAAGTTTGCCTTCATTTTCTATTTAATCATATATTAAAATCAATTAACCTGAGCTTCAAAAGAAATGATCTTATTCAGAAATGTTTCCTAGAGGGTGTAATAGTGTAATTATATAGGTTGAATGACTTTTAATTCAAAAGAGTTATCAATGTTCTATCATGAAATTGTTAATAATTTAAAGATATGTCAAAAAGGTCAAATAAACAGTGGCCTTTTTGCTTCCTCTAAGATCAAAAATAATTTTTCCACATGGATTTTTGTTTGTAGCACCTTTACCTGCCAATCTGTTTTGTGTATCCTCTTAAGTATCACATTTAATAACGAGCTCAAGAGGGTAAAAGTGTCGGGTTTTTTACTTAATAATTTTCAATAATAAGACCATCAGATATGAGTGAAAAAATATGCCAAGAATATTTCTATTCAACATATTTGGTCTTTTTAGTCTCTCAATCTGATTACCTGAGTGGTCCACCAATTCCAAATTCCTCATTTTCTATTCCTGCTATTCCCTCACTCCAAGGCTTGGTGAAGGTGTAGAAAGTTTAATTGGAAAGATTAATGAGAAAATGAGTTCTCTTTTGTTATTTTCAAATAGAAACATTATATTCATGAATTTGATTCCTATAATAAAATTTCTACATTTTCATTATAATTTTAAACACACTGTGAATAATTTTAGTAACATTAAAAGATTCATTATTTAGGTTCAAATTATTTATGAAGATATTGTCATATGAACAAGATTTATCTTTTTTCCTTAATGAATCTGCAAAGTGTGTATATTCAGAAATGAGGAAAAAAAGAACAAAAAACCTCAAAAGAATTCCATAAAACTAAGATGTTATACACAGAACAAAAGATTTAAATCTACTCATTAAAACAACATGACACTGGTCATTTCATTAGCAATAAAAGTACATGTGTTGGTTTTATAATCTCGAGGGTTTTTCTAAAATTACAAAAATGAAATATCAACTTGCATCAGTAGGTGGTAGGAAATCACACAGTGAAGAACTAACAATATTGCTTTTCCTTTTCCCATGACAAAAGAAAATCATTCTAATTCAAAAACATCAATGTCTGATGGCAATTACTTATATTGAAAATTGTGATTCCCAAGATGTGGCTAATTCCTGAGGTATGAGAGCATTTATATGATGAATACACAAAGATAAATATACTCTAAGAGATATTATTTTGTTACTGTAAATATTATGCTGAATTCAGTCTGTGCAAATATAAGTATGTAATAAATCTAAGGACCTGCACATCAAAGAGACCAATGGTATAAAGCATCAGCTATGAACTGGCCCAGGGCTGGATCCTCATTCAAACAGGACAAATCATTGCTATAATGTTGTGCTCTCTTTCACTATGTTATGCTATATAACTATGTTAGGCTAAATTTTATTACTCAGACTGTGTTACTCTTTAACATAGCCTTCCGCAAATGTCTCTGAATTTTAATTCTTATAGCATCAAAGTTTATCCCTGTAATAAACAGCTGTCTCTTTTCAGTCAAAGAAACTCAAGGTTTGACCTCACAATGAGCAACCACCATATATAAAACTTAAAAATATATTTTGATAGTAACAATAGATATTTCACTTACTTGTAACCCCACGCAGTTATTCCTAATATGAGGGCCAGCACTAAAATGGTGCCAGCAATTATGCCTATTATGATATTAGTACCAGCAACACCTGAGGGGGCAAGGAAACAATGATGATAAGTACATATAATTGAAATTTTGATATAAAATTCTTTCAGGAACTTTATTCTCCATATTTATAATCATCACACTAACATTATTTATTGTAAAAAGTAGGTACTTTAAAAGGAAAAAATCAACTATAAATTTTCAACCCACATCAGCTTTAAAAATAATTTTCATCTATGTTCCCTCTTAATTTTTGTCCAAATATATTTTGCACAGCTGTATTTTCCATGTATGTTTTTGGAAAGTATGATGAGGTCATTGAACTAAAAGAAAGAATAAAAATAGGGGGGAAAAGAGGAGGAGGGGGAAAATACAATGGTACAATGAGGAGGGGACCCACTGGACTCTGGTGGAGGATTATGGGAAACTTGGTGGCAGGTGTAGTGTGGTGGCATGCGTCTAAGAAGGCATGATCCTATAGTTCTGAAACACCTACAGTGTTATAAACCAATGTTACCTCAATATAAAAGGAAGGAAGGAAGGAAGGAGGAAAGGGGAGGAAAGGGAGGGAAGGAAGGGTAGGAGGGAGGGAAGGGGGTAAGGGTGATAGCACTATATTGGCCCTATATTGGCATAGCACCCTTTGGAGATGAAACTTTCAGAAATTCATATTCCTTTTGATTCTGATTTTTTACCTTGAAAATTGTAGAAATGTTTTATTACTATCATATCATGTTCACTGCAATGCTTTCAGGAGTGGAGAGAGAGAGAGGGAGAGAGAAGAGAGAGAGAGAGAGATAGAGAGAGAGAGAGAGAGAGAGAGAGAGAGTTCCCAGTCTTGGAACTGCATCCCAAAGATAAAAGAGTCTAGTGTGCTTGAGATGGGTGTGGCATGAGAATCAAGTGGCACTAGAGTGGTCAGAAGTCAGGCTAAAACTCAGGACTGGGAAATAGCACTGCTGTGGCAGCACCCACTGTCAGACCAACATGCTGTCTATAACGGATCAATATAGACAGTGAGTGAGTGAAAGTTTTTGTCAACAAGTAAAGATCGAGAGCAAAAAGGCAGATGAAAGACCTGGAGGACACCAGAAGATCAGTTTTACTGATGTTGATTTTACCACATGTTAACATCAACATGGCAGGATTTTTTTCCCACAGCAGCTCAGATCTCTTGGTGTGCTCCAGTCCTGAGGCATCCTTCTAGACAGTAAAGATCAGTAACTAGGCAACTAGAACAGACTCCAATTCTCCATGAGAGAAGCAGCAGTCTCTCTTTCTGGTAGCCCTCAGCAGTCACACAAGAAGGCAAGGTTGGGACATCTGAAGAGACTAGCAGATTCCATCTGACCCAGATACTCTGTGAAATGGGTGGATGCAGAGGGCCCCCTGTGGTAATGGGGTTTTCCTACTATAAGACCTAGCACATTTGTCTTCTATTCTTTTTCTTCTATGGATTTAGGAGGGAACAGCAAATTTTAAAACTGGTCTTGGGCCCTCCCTGGTGGTGCAGCGGGTTAAAGCACAGCACTAAGAAGCTAAAGCCAATTCCGTATGAGTTCAATCCCCGCCTGCCCCAGAGGAGATCCACATGGTGTGGCAGACCTTTCCTGACCCTCCCGCTGCTCCCCTCAGCAGTGTACTTCATCAGTCAGCCTGTTCTGCTCCCCACTCTGTTTCTTACCACCCCTGCATCTCTAGCCTGTACCCCATTTCTGCATGCATAAATAACTAAATCTTTAAAAATAAATAAATAAATAAAAACTGGTCTTGTTTATTTCTAAGTAATGGTACTGTGGTGGTGGTGGTTGTTCCTGGGCACAGAACGAATTCTCTCTCTTTTTTTTTTTTTTTTTTTTTGTGATTTAACCATTGGTTTACTAAGTTGTGATTTTTGGGAAGTTGAATAAACCCATGGGCCTAAATAGCCTCATCACTGTATTAACTGTTAGAACAAGCTCCACACTGTAAGACTTGGGACACCAAAATCTTACTCATTCTTAACTTGTTTAATAAGATCACACTGCCTGATATTTTACTCATCTGGATGCTTATAATAAATACTATCTACTTCTCATTCTTTGAGGTGAACTGCCTGTATAAAGCAATGACTAAAAGGAACATTAACCTCCAACATATGATTTCTTTCAACTACCTGCACTTAATTCCTACTTCTCCATTTAGGCCACTCTAGTTTCTAGAAATGCACTTATTTCTTATTCATGTCTTCAAACCCCTTTCTAAGAACCTGGGGCAGCTTACTGCTTTTAGATTTACCTACAGTTCAGGTAACAGGCTTGGAGCTGAAAACAGAAAAGATTCTACAATGCAGACAACTACAGTAAAGAAAATATTTAAAAACAAATTTTTAATTGTTTTTTTCTTTTATTAGTCCCAGAATATAAAATTCTTAGCCCCAAACAAGTACAATATCTGAAAAATCTCAGTCTGCTATAGGACATGAAAGGTTAAATCAATAGACTAAGTTATACTCAATATTACATATCATGGACATGGAAATGAGCAGTTTCATAAGTGGACCCCAGTTTTACATTCTAATTCAGACATATCTCCTCCCTGAGCACCCTATCTAGCTGTCTCTTTTTATTCCTTTCTCCTTTTCCTAATAAATCTGTGCATTTTTTGAAAACAAGAAAAGTAACTGAAATTTCCTCTTCCCATATGTATAAAGATTCCATAATGGTACCAAACTAAGTACCTACCGTTGCCAGTCAGAGTTATTCCACCAGTCTTCATGTCATCTAAGGGGAAGTAAGTACTGCAGTCTGCACCTATCCAGTGCCTGTTACATACACACTTCAGTTCATTACTGCAAACCTGGAAACACAAAATCAGCCTAAAGTAAATGTCAACTCTCTGGCATAGAGGCAAGAAAAATTAAAAAAACCAAATTACTATATGTCTAGAATTTGGTGATAATGAAAAATCATTTTTCCCAAAGTGAATTAATTTATATTACTCAAATACCTAAAGAATATTTCCTAAAGATCAGTGGTTAAGCAGAAAGGTAACATGAATTTTACTCAATATGTTAAAAGATTACTGAAATTATTATTCTGAATTTCATTAACTTAAATTTTTTTTAAATATTTATTTATTTATTTATGCATACAGAACTGGGATAACAGGCCAGAGGTGCAGGGGTGGTGAAAGGACTCACCAGAGACAGAATGGGGAGCAGAACAGGCAGATCGATGAAGTACACTGCTGAGGGGAGCAGCGGATGAGACAGGAGAGGTCTGTTGTGTCATGTGGATCACCTCCCTGGCCAGGTATCAAACTAGCACTGAAACGGCTGCAGCTGGCTTTCAGTGCTGCGTCCTAACCCATTGAGCCACCAGGAAGGGCCCTCATTAACTTAAATTTTATAAGGGAGAATTAAAAAACTAAGCAGAAATATACTCATCTGCCAATTTTCCACTACAGAAGATTCTTTCTTCCAAAGAAAGGGTCTTTACACCAAAATTTTATTCATCTTTTTGGAAATAGAAATGATAGAAATTCAAGAAGAGAGACAGCCTCAAGCTTTGCAGTGGTCTGAGAAGAAAGTTTCACAAAGCTGTAACTTAGGCACCAAAGCTATATGAATTAGGTATCTCAGGACCTGAGAACTCCCTCAAACAGAAAATTCACATAAAAATCACAGCAAGTTTTTTTTAATTATAAGAAAATAATCTGTGTTCATTTATACATCCATAAAACAGAAGCTATACCTAGAATTTATCATTCAAAACTGTGACTGGAATAGAAAATCGGAGAGAATTCAAGTAGGCTTAAGATTGAGGACATTCTTCAGGGGGCCGAATTATATGGCGTAGGTAAATTTCCTTATCTGATCTAACTTGTCAAAAGATGACATAACCCATACCTAAATGTAACTATAAAATATGATTAACAAATTGCATACTTCAAATTAATTCAGATTAACAAATTTTAGTAAGTTAACACAGGCAGATAAAATGAACAAGAGGTCTGGGTTTAAGTCCCCATATCAGCACTATATTACCAACAGATCTTACTGAAGTCACATGGCTTTTCCAGGTATCAGTTGCCATCTTGTACAATGGTATTAGTGATACAGTTACAAGAAATGATAGTGATATCCTTGTACAACAAACACTTATTAAACCGCACAAATATGTGCTAAATATATACTCCAAGGAACTGTTTTAATTAATGATGTATTAATTCATTGATTATGTGCAACAACCCTATAAATTTGGGAATATTATAATTCCTATTTTACAGAGAGAGAAAGTGAGTCACAGAGAAAGCTAAGTAAGTTGCTTAGTCTTACCCATTTAGTAAGAAGCAGCACTGGTCTTATTCAAAGTTGATTTTTTTTTAAATTTCACATATTTTATTTACACTAATATATTCAAATTGTTATCATTCAGTTGTTAACATTTGGCAAATGACCAGTATGAAGCAATATACTGAGCTGTTTTACATTCTTCTAAGTTTACAGAATCCAGTGTGGATTTCCCATTTATGGTATATTTCAATCACACTATTCAGGTTTCAAGCACTCACCAGACACATGCAGCAAGTACAAGCCCACACTCTTTAATATATGATGTATAGTATAGTATAGTACATGGAGGACATCAACTTCTATTTATCATTTTTAATTTTATGACATATATAGAGTTGAGTTATTCTAATAACATTATATAACTCTCTGTATTAGGAATAATTACTGTAAATGACTTGGATGTTATTTACCAACTGATTTACATATGTGTCATTCTTTTACTCATTCATTAAACAAAAGGTTAATTAACACAACTAACTATACTATGCCTGGTCTCTGTATTATATTCTCAGAATTGCTAGATGAATAAGATATATTTGTTAGCATGAAATGGTCAATAAATAATTCCATTATCCTTTTCTACCACATTATAAAAAGCATTTCTTTCTAATATCCTCTTAATTATCCTAATTACTAAGAAAAGAAACCTTAGCAGACTCTTTTATATGAGCAGAATTCCTTATTAGATGCCTTCTGTATCCTCATGCACTGTAAGAATTCTTACCCTTTGGCAAAGAGTTAAATTAGTAAGACTCTCTAAGGAAATTCTTGGCACACCCTGTAGGGATATACAAAGAATGAGCAGGATTGAAGTCTTCTAATTCCAAAATAGGGATCCTTTACCTCAGCCAAAATGAAGCACAATCAGTTCAAACATGAAATATGTAATAAAAGTAAAAAAAATATTAAAGTACATGTCAAAAAGGACAAAAGATTTTATTAGTATAGAAATTCTTAACTAAAAAAATGACAGAACTGCAATCACTAATGGAGTATGTTTACTTAACCTATAAACTTAACAATAGAGGACCTACATATCGACTACATAACTGAAAGAACTATAAGGTATGCCATTCTTTCTATTTGTTTTTGAGAAATAATTCCCTAAATTATTTTGCTTCTATTTCTGTGAGTTATCCTAACTGGCACACACTGATCTGGATGCAACAAATATTTATGATCTCTTAACCAGTCAGTGCCTGGATCATAACAGTTGTTAAATACTGTGGTTACTGCCCCTTATTTTTTTTTTAAATTTATTTATTTTTGCATACAGAACTGGGGTACAGGCCAGAGGCTCAGGGGCGGTGAGAGGCTTCACCAGAGACAGAGTGGGGAACAGAACAGGCAGATCGATGAAGTACACTGCTGAGGGGAGCAGCGGGCGGGTCAGGAGAGGTCTGCCACGCCATGTGGTCACCTCCGGGGCAGGCAGGAATCGAACTCATGCTGAAGCGGCTTTAGATTCTCAGTGCAGTGCTTTAACCCGCTGCGCCACCAGGGAGGGCCACTGCCCCTTATTTTTGCAACCTTTTCTACCGTATGTGTGTGAAAATTTGACTTATAGATCATTTATAGAAAATTGGCTTATCAAACAAATTTACATTATATTAATAAAAGAGGTGGAAAAGTTTGGTTAAGAAGTTTATACTCACGTTTATCTTATTCTCAGGCTTTTGCAAAATTCACAGCAGAAATAATTGATTATGACCAAAAAACTATTTATATACCAGCTAGAAATATGAATATACATGTTTTCCATTACTGAGGAAATATACACTTTAGGATTGTCTGCTTCAGTGATATTAAATAATTCAATAGTTCCCATGGTGAGGTATTGAATACTTACTCCATTTCCTGAACAAACAGTGCCTTCTTTATTGCTTAAGCAAGTACTAAAGTTAAAGGAAGCCATTGGAAGACACCTGTGTTCTAGGCACATCATTTGGGGACCACAAGGTGTCCCATCTTCCACATAGCCAAGATCTACATCTTCTTCAAGCTTAACATGCCCACCACTAAAAACAGACAACAAAATAGGATTCCATTAGTTCATATAATCTTGAGATATGCTAAAAATTTGTTATCTATTTGCTCTCTTTGTTATCAAATAAAAGCCAGTAGCATAAGCATTTTCAACCTCTAAATGCAGAAAGCATTTGAATTACTTGATTTAATTGTTTTTGGAGATACTGATATATATTCGGACTTAAAGATAATATTGTATCAAGGTCCTGAACTGAAAAATGGCTGTATTATTTTGCCTTGGCTCTCATGTACAAGTCAAATAAGTCATTACTACTAGTATTTGATCTGGCATATAAGTAGATGTCAAGATTTCAAAAATATTTCAAACCAAGATGAGAATTGGCTTTATTTTACATTTCCCCAAAAAATCCTGGATTGCAAGCTAGATTTGAGAATGCTACATTAATGTAACTTCACCAGTTAATATAATAAGCCCGCATATAATGTAGAAATAAACAATAGGTGAGTTTTTTTTTTTAAAGATTTATTTATTTGTTCATACAGAACTGGGGTACAGGTCAAAGGCTCAGGGAAGGTGAGAGGCTTCACCAGAGACAGAGTGGGGAGCAGAACAGGCAGATTGACGAAGTACACTGCTGAGGGGAGCAGCGGGCGGGTCAGGAGGGGTCTGCCATGCCATGTGGTCACCTCCGGGGCAGGCGGGAATCGAACTCATGCAGAAGTGGCTTTAGCTTCTCAGTGCAGTGCTTTAACCCGCTGCGCCACCAGGGAGGGCCCGCTTTATTGTATTTTTTAAAAAACAATCTCATCTAGGCCCTCCCTGGTGGCGCAGCGGGTTAAAGCACAGCACTGAGAATCTAGAGCAGCTTCCGCATGAGTTCAATTCCCGCCTGCCCCGGAGGTGACCACATGGCGTGGCAGACCCCTCCTGACCCGCCCGCTGCTCCCCTCAGCAGTGTACTTCGTCAATCTGCCTGTTCTGCTCCCCACTCTGTCTCTGGTGAAGCCTCTCACCGCCCCTGAGCCTCTGGCCTGTACCCCAGTTCTGTATGCACAAATAAATAAATCTTTAAAAAAAATGATCTAAAAAAAAATACAATAAAGCAATCTACTGTTTCTACTTCTCTTCATATCCTTTCCTGAAAAAAAAAAACTGCCTTTTTTCTATTGATAGATTTTTTTTTAAATTGAGGTAACAGCGGTGTGTAACATGATTCAGAGTGGATCACACCCTTTCAGAGTATGTTACCACAGTCACACACACCACCAAGGCACACACAGTCCTTTACCATAGTCACTGGGCACCCTCCACATTTTGCTTTCCACTCTCTCTCTTCCCTCTAGTAGCCTCAATTCTATGGTCAGATTTCTAGGAGGCTTGATTTTGTCTGAACCTTTATTTTCTTTTTCCATATTCTACATGTAAATGAAACCATTCAAATTTGTCTTTTTCCTTTTGACTTATTTATTTCTCTTAGCATTATCCCCCTTCCAAAAAGACCCATGTTGAAGAAAATAGAAAGAGTTCATCTTTTTTTATAGCTGAGTGGTTTTCCTAACACACTTATCTGCACTTGGGCACTCTGGTTGTCTCCATAAGTTGGCTACTGTAAACAGTACCACAACAAATGAGGGGGTCACATTTCCCTTTGAATTAGTGTTTTTGCATTCTTCGATAGGTACCTTGGTGTGAAATTGCTGATCATATGAGAGAACTATTTTCAATGTTTTGGAAAATATACATACTGTAGAAAACTACATTTTACTCTTGGTTCTTCTGTTTTTAATGCACATATCATTAGTGAATTTGTACTACTCTTTAATTTTTCCATTTTAGGTATTGTTGGTTGAACTCCCTCTGAAATTTGAGACTTTTAACTTTTTCATCTATCTGCTCATCATAAAACTTGTTAAATAAACCAAAAAATTCATGATTATGACACTGAATCTTCTTCAGCTGAGCAATATAGTATGTCATAATTAAACCATTTCCCCCATATAACTTTTCATTTTCCCTCAGATTGGCAAGTATATTATTTGTTTACTGTTTATTTCACTACTTTCCTGTGAATTGATCACTAACTGAAAAGTAATACAACATTGCTGTTAAAATCTCTATTGAGATATGAAATGTCTCAGAATCATTTGTATCTGTGTAACTGAAAAGAGAATTGGAGGATGTTCAGGGTCAGATCCCAGGGATGTTCAGACAAGCTTGGGCATGTCCAGCCATGCTCAGACACATTTATCTCTGGAAAAGCACTGAGACAAAGCCAGCTGCCAGGGAATCCAGTACCAAAACCCCACCAATCATCACTTGAGAGCTTTCTACCAGTCAGAACTATACTTACTGAAAACGTTATTTGCAGAAAGCAAATCTGTGGACTAGCCATCATTTTTTTGTCTATATAAGTGCTCCTTAGCATGGGACAATTCAGTAGCACATTTAAGTGCTCTTTGGATTTGTTCCCTGGGTTACATTTCTAAGAAAATTGCCAAAAAAACACTTATCCAGGTCTCCTTTATACTCGGAGCACCATTCAAGATATGTAACAGAACATCAGATGATCAACTAGTGGAGATCACTCCTGAAGTCTCTCCTACAATTTTATGATATGGTTGTCCCCTGAATCTGGTTAAAATTATACATTCTGATTTCCCTACCAGCACCATCATTCCCTGTTCCCAGGGAAGTTAGTAGTGAGCATATCGTTTCCTAAATTCCATGCAATTTTTTTTTCTTCGCTTACTCTTTATTATAGTAGAATACTATTTCCAGTAGCTTCCTACATAAGGGCACAAGGGAGCAATTTTTGGGTAAATTCTCACATCTGAAGTTTTTTATTTTTCTTTCCTCATACTTAATTGATCATTTATGTGGCTACAAAAATTCTAATTTAGAAGTCATTCCAGGATCCCTATTAATAAATCCTAAACCATTTAATATCTGATCCATTTCCTCCTCTCTGGAAACATTTAGAATTCTTTTCCTCGTCCTACCTAAAGTTCTGAAATCTTATGATGGTATATTTAAATATGCCTCTAATTTTACTCATTGTACCTGGCACTTACCTGTAAATACAGATATTCAAGTCCTTTAGTTCTATACTGAAGGTTCACTGGCTATTTCTTCTCTGCTGTTTTCTCTATTCTCTATTATTTCCATTTTAATTAGGAGTGTTCTTTTCCCTGTGTTTCATTTCTTTGCCTTTTTTCCCTTAGTTTCTGGGAAATAATTTCAACTATTAGGTTTAATTTCTTCCATTATATTTTAAATTTCCAACAGCATTTTTTCTTTTCTGAATATTACTCATTTAAAAAAATAATATTCTATTTTTATTTTATGAAAGAAATAGCTTACCTCATAAATATAGATAAGTGGGTTTTTTCCCTAGTTTTTTTTTGTTTTAATTATTACAGACTTTCTTTACCTCTGATAATCTGTACATATTTTAATTAGGGCGACATGGATGATAAAAAAATTTAGTGCTTTCTGACTAACCATCAGTGAGGATGCTTAACTTCACAACCCTGATATCAATGTTGCCTGCTGTCCTTACATTTTATTTGGTGTCTAATATACCCTCAAATCTTTTTAAGATTTATTTATTTGTGAATACAGAACTGGGGTACAGGCCAGAGGCTCAGGAGCAGCAAGAGGTTTCACCAGAGACGGAGTGGGGAGCAGAACAGGCAGATCGACGAAGTACACTGCTTAGGGGAGCAGCGGGCGGGTCAGGAGAGGTCTGCCACGCCATGTGGTCACCTCCGGGGCAGGCAGAAATCGAACTCATGCTGAAGTGGCTTTAGCTTCTTAGTGCTGTGCTTTAACCCGCTGCGCCACCAGGGAGGGCCTACCCTCAAATCTTTTAAGGGAAATGAAAAAACCCCAGCTGAGGTGAGTCAGAAAAAAACTGGATCTAACTGCTTATTTAGCAGGCTTTCACTTACCTTCTTTATACTTGCCTTTTCCCCACCCCAAAATATTTTACTTCCTCTTCCAAAAGTAAATGATGCTGTAATTTTTGAGCCTTTGGAGACTAACACTACAAAATGGGTTAGTTCTCAGTTTTCTCCATTACTGACAGGGATTCAGCTTTTTAGTTTTAAGAATCATTTGCCACAGACCCATTTGTTTTCCTTTATTACTACTTTGTCCTTTTTCTTTCTCTGCTTCACTGTGGTATGTGAATTCCTTAAAAAGATTCAACTGGTGCCAATGTAGTGGGATTTCAGAAGGCAGCAAAAGAAGATGAAAATATTTAATCTACTTACTTTACTTAGAAGTCCTATTGTTTTCCCCCTTAATAAGAATGAAAAGCAAATTAAACCCTGCAGGATTTCACTGACCAATATATTTCTAAAAACCTTATAATATGTCATGTCAATTAATGTTGATAGCCTTTTCATCTCTTTTCTGCCAGGATTTACCCAATTACCTTTAATGATTGGTTGGATTCTACTTGGGCATATTAACAGGAACGTGAACTGAAAATAGAAGTAATCCTACACTGCATTTCTCCAAAGTAAGATGACTAAAGTTTTCCCAGAATGGTTAGACACTTACCTACAATTCAATGTTCGTCCTTGTTGCACAACCAAAGTAGATGTGATTTCACCATCCAGTTCTCCAAGCCTTGGGATATTACCAATATTGGTACACAAAAGATAACCACAAAGCACATCCCTGTGTTAAGAGTACCACTGGTTAACTTCCTTACCCAAAGATAGAGCAAACCAAATAATTATGCACTAATCTTACATCATTTTAGCATTTGTTTTTCATCAACTATATTACTTATTCAAATTGTAATCAAAATAAACTCAAATTATTTTATCTGTTGCTTTAAATGGTGAAATGTGTTTGCTTTACCAAGATCTTAGTTGTGTTCTAGGTTTTTCCTTTACTATCTATTAGTTCAAATATTTGTCTACAGGAATTATCCATCAAAGATACCTTTATCTGTCAGAAAATCTTTACTGATAACATATCACAGGAAATGCTAAAAGTTTTTTTTTTAATTTCATAAATAAATGAATGACCCGAGGATGAGTATTCTTTTGGAATGTAACTTTTCTTCAGTCATTGCTTCAGAATTAAAGAAAAATATATGTATTGTATATATTGCATAGATTCCCAAACAAATACCCTAATGGAGCCCTTCTTTAGTAGGTTTCTGATTATTCTATCATCCATAATTCCAATTTAACTGTAAAAAACTTTACCAGTGCTATTGTAATATACATTTTCTATATTTAATACATTTTCATTATTAACATAGATAAAACATTTATTTCAATAAATATCATATGAAGACTAGTTACTGATCATTAGGATTATATAGGGAAATGTTAGGCTTTATCAGATAGAGAAATATTAGAACCAGTGTGTCTATCACAACAAAAAAAAGTATTAACTTATTCTTAAAAAACAATTTTTAAGTTATATAATCATTGTAGTTAACATCAATAAATATGCTTTATCAACATAAGAGATTCATTCAGTAGTGCTACTTGTGTACATGGAGCTGAATAATTACTTTAGGATTAAGAAAAGTAGGCATACTCTTTAGCCTTCAATGAAATTATATGCCAAGGAAAAGTGAAATCACATAAACAACTATAAAACACAGAATTGGTAACAACTGTCACAAGACTAGCATAAAGGACTATAGGTATTCAGAGGAGAAGAACATAATTTTATTTCTAGAATAAATTTACAAAGAATTTGCAGAAAGAATCCAATCAGGTCTTTGAAGATAGATAAATGTTTGACTTGTAATGGACTGGGAAAAGGTGTGGTTCCACAGGAAACACTAACATAAGTGTAGATATGGAGATAGAAAACATAATGTACATATTTGGAAAAGCAGAGTTTGCTTTGTAAGAGTAGAAAAGAAAGAAGAAATTTTGGTTGTAGAAGAGATAAGAATGCCAAGGGTCCAATTTATTCTCTTAAGCAGGACAGGATGAGCAAAAAGTTTCAGATAAATCCTAAAACCAGACTGTCTTGAGTTCTCTGAAATCCTACCTACATGGCATGGGGCAAATTAATTTTGTCTCAGTTTCTTCCTCTATAAAGTGAAAAGAACTGCCATAATGATTTTAGGACATAGTTTAAGCAAATTGCCATACAGTGCTAAGCATAGAGTATGCATTCAATAAAAGTTGGCTAATATTTTTTTCTATTGGTGAAATCTGAACAAGAAATGACATGGCCAAAAACTCAGAAGATTATTTATGGTACTATGCTAAGACTTCTGTAATAGTTAAACTACTTTTGTAATAGTTAAGAAGTTAATACAGGTCTTAATTGGGAACAGAAATGGAACTGAGAGGACCAATTAAAGACAAATGGGGTGGGAGTAGGAAGGATGAACAACATGATTTGGCAATTGGTCAGATGGGAAGTGGAGTCAAGGATCCCTCTGAGACCTCTAAACAGAAAGGCAGTGTGATATTAAGACTTTTGGTCAAAAAAAAAAAAAGTTCTAGGTAAGTCAGAGTCAGTTAATTCAATTCAACTGTATTGAAACAGAGTCCCTTGGCTTTGATTTTTGTTGGGTTGAGATGCTGGCAGTTATCTTTCAGGTAGAAACACAGGCGGCAGCTGCAAGTATCACTTAGGCTTTATGAAAGAAGAGAGGTCAGAGTGTATAAAGATTTGGGAATCTCTTGCCAAGGAGATGCTGGAAGGCTGAGAAGAGATGAGATGACTGAGCAACAGAATGTCTGAGAAATGCAGAAAATAGAAAAATCCCAGTCATTTGAAAAAGTGGTGCTTATAACTAACTGTGGGCTAATTCCAGGCTAAATTCTCTATCTCACCGTTTGTTGCACTGTATCCACGTGTCTTTGTCTTTCCCACAGTTACCCTTCTCTGTCCCTTCAATATTCAGTTTCTCATAGCAGTATTTGTCTGATTCCATCACCTCTGAAATAGAAAAGAGTTTTCTATCAGTGAGGGATATAATATGTGAGCGGCCACTTAAGGATTCTTCTTCACTGCAATGTTACGGATTCCAAAACTCGTGCCCATAACTCCAAGTTTTCCTTTCACATAGATATTCCCAGTTCAGGAACATTTTTCATGGCCATTCATTTGGAATTGGAAAACAAATATATTTAGATTTTGATAGGATTCAGGCAACCGGTTAGACAAATAATACTCTCCCAAGTTTGGTCAATAATTAGAGGAAGATGATACCAAATGGTCCTTGAATCAATAATCCATGCCTTAATCTCAGTGACAAAGCATGAATTCCTCACTTGGCAACTTTTATTAAAGAGAATTTTATTAAAATATTTTCACATTATAATTAAAGACTCAGAAACAGAAGGAAAAATTTCTACTTTCTAACTCTTGACAGTTATCAGAAACTCCTTAAGTTTCTTTTGTCTTAGAGAAGCCTGAATTCAGGCTCTTAGTCAAATACCATTTTAAGGGTTATCAACACTTTTTCTGGGTTTCTATTTTGTCAAAGCTAGGGCTGGTTGGTGAGAATGTCTAAATGTTAGCTCAAAATGACTTATTTTGCAACCTTATCAGGTCAGCTCCACATATATATACATATATGTGTGCATACACATACACACATATGCATATAATATTGGTAGATTTTTTCCTACTTATTGCTGTCAGCTACTATTTTGATTTACTCAGTTGAAGAAAAGAAAAACTATCTGTCTTTGGTCAAACTTGCACAACTAAATTTCCCCCCATCCCAGTGTTGTTCTTTCCTTCAAAAGACAGCTATACTTTCCTTCTCAAAGGGATGTTAGCCACAATTTGTGACAATTAAAGATTATCTCAAAGCTTGCTTTCTAAAACAAACTATCTTCTGCAAAAGTTTAAAACAAAAACTGATTTTAAAAGAAACAGAAACACTTGTGGATAAAAAAAATAATTACTCAATATCTAATTACAAATTTAAACAGATGGAATTTAAATAACATGCTTTAAATGTAAATATATATTTTTCTCTAAAAATCTGAGTTTTCTCTGAAAATTTTAATCTTAAGGGAATAAAATTAAAATTTCTGATACTGTAGAGCTACTTCAGAAGGTTACCTATAACTAGGTAAAGCAACAAGAACCAGAGTTCAAATATATTTTTAAGAAAAAGCAACTTTAAAATACTATAGTTGTAAGCGAAGGATGCCCTATCAAGGGTCCAAATACAACCCACATTGTACAAGTGTTGCTTAAAAACACTCAGATGAAGAGAGCATAGGTTGAGTCAATATACAGGTTTGGCCTTTTATGCAGGCATGAACTTTACTGGTCAAAAGTCATCATCAACAAGCCAAGATGTGTGGATTGGTACTGTGTCTTCTCAAAGGAGGTCCCTTTCTCTGCTTAGACATGCAGTCGCAGCAGCTTTGAGAATTCCCCCAGTCATAAAGTGGTTGAAAATTGACTACCAATTCACATGTCTCTGAGAAGCTGGCCTGTTATCAGATATTGAAAATGATCAACCTGCATCATTTACTTACTTTGCCCCCAGATGTATTTGCATTGTCTATCCCTGGTTTTACACCGTCCTCCAAAGCAAATTCCCTAAAATATAAAAGCATACCCATTAGCAATTCAATGTCTGCTAATATCAGATATTGCAAAAGTAAATATGGCTGGGAAATCTAGTGGATAAGAATTATAAAAATTTATGAAAAATATTGATTACAAAGCATTTAAAGTAGTTTTCATATTCTGTTAAGATTTTAGTATTTCTTTCAGGTTAATACATATGAAAAATTTAGGCAAAAATGAAGTATCCTACCTGAACACTATCACATGAATATCCATCCATTTTATGAATATTTGGGGCACACTAAAGTAAGAAAATAGAATTATGAGCTAAATGCACAGCAGACTTAGCTAATTCTTTTAATGTTTTCATTAAAAGGAAAAAACAAATTAAAATGAACACTAAAAATAAAAAGTCTAAAAATATGGTTAGTCACCTAAAACATCTGAATATAAAATTTAAAAAGAACAAGAAAAATCAAAGGGAAATACAACGGTTACACTTCTCTTTAACAAATAAGGCTCTACCAGGGGTGAAATTTGATTAAATAGTAACAAATAAAAAGAACTGACAGTGAAGACTCAACGAAGACTAACTTAAAGAGCATCTTGCTTTATACAGCTACTCTATTCCTCAGAGCAAGAAAAGCAAGAACACATTAGAACTAACACAGCTCCTCACACTTAAAATGACTTCTGAACAGATGCCTCCATTGAGCATGTTAGAAAAAGACATGCTTTTTAGCTCCATTTTACCAGAGAGCAATTGCAGAAAATTCAAAGCTTTATAATATATATAGTTAATTGTTTAATTGATGATATATTTTTATATCATCATAATAATTATATACACATGAGAAAAGCTGGGAAATGTAAAGCAAATTAAAAACAGTTAAAGATAGGACTCTCCCACCACACAAAGACGACTACTTTTCACATTTTGGCACATAAATGTCTATACCTTTTTCTAGAAAATTTGATAGTTGTAAGCATAAGAAGATAAGGTTACAGAAAACACTTTTTTTTTAATTTTATAATAGTTTATTTTTACATATTTTTGTGCATTTTTCCATCTCAGTTACAATTCCCTTTGGTTTCCCACCACCAAATCACCCATGTGCCATCACCATAGTCCAGTGCATTATCCCCCCCTCACTGTTTTTGATCCCCTTCCTCACTCCACCCCCACAAAATGTCTCTGGCATATAGCTGTTCATCATTATCACTATTTCCTCGCCTGTTCCGTTATATTCCTGTTACGAGAGAAACCATTTGGTATTTTTCCTTTTCTTTCTGACTTATGGAAAACATTTTATAGTCTGTTTCTTCCCTTTACTTTCACAGAAATTGCCATAATAAACTTTTTTCCTAGTTTTTATCTTTAATCACTATAATATACTGCATTGATCTAACAAATATTAGGACCAGTTTACTAACTGTATTCATTTAGTTTTATTCACTTGTAACCATCTTCAATATATGCTGTTTCTACTAGTGAAACAAAAGCATCTTTTTATGTATGTCATTTTGGGATTTATGATTTAAAAAAATTGTCCATAAACTATCTAATCATATTCCAAAGAAGCTGTACTAATATGCATTCCCACCAGGAACTCATTTATTGTACTGTTGTCATTATGAGGCAGTAGCTTAGAAAAACAGTGAAGATTAGGAAGTAAAAAAGGAAAATAATCTTTAATCTCTTAAAATGACTACTATTAAAATAAAGCATGTTTAGTGGTTAATGTTAAGTATAGAATATTGAATTCTTCTCTACAGGCAAAAATTTGCAACAATCAGTGTTTTGCATGGTTCTAAAATGCATGAAATTTCAGTTACAAATATTTTGTTAAGTAGTACTAGTACCCCAATAACACAGTTCCAGTTTCACTTACCATAACATATTAACTGAGTAACTACATACAACACAAGCTTTACAGTCTACTCATCACAAGGTAAATAAAAGATACCCAGCCAGTGACCTATCTTGTCATTTCTTTCAAAGTGTGTCAGGAACTGGTCACTTCCATCTGGTTATTCAGTTCATCCACAGAAACACGGTGTACAGTGTGTCGCCTCTCTATCTGTGGGTGAGCGCATCTGACACTACAAAACTAGATAATCAAAGTGGGGGTCAATGGAGATGAAAGCACAGCAAAGAAATGAAAAGCAAGGCCACTGGAAGTGAAATATGAATTCAATATTACAGAAAACTGCTGACATTAGGAATGTCAATACTGCAAACTGGGAAGACTTCACAGTCACATCTCCACATTTCCTGGAGATATCTCATGACTTTGTATTTACAAATGATAAAATGATGAAAGTGGATCCAAACTTAGAAAGGAATTTGACAACCCAACAAGGCAGAGAAAAGATGCTTATTATATATATATAAAGTTTAGAAGAAAAGGCAAATACAGTTCAAGCAACTGATAAATTTTTTACTAAGAAATAATTTTATTCTTGATGATTGTTTACTTTAGTGTGCTAAATGCTTGTTTTTTCATTTCCCTATTTATTTAAAGCCAACAGTAAGAAGTTTGAATAGTTTGACAATATAAAGATGACAGAACTATTTTAGTTTTTACATTAATTATTAACATAGTGGCACATGGTTTCATCTTACACTAATTTTTAGTCTTTACTACCATGCAAAGCAAGGAATTCCTGAATTATATATTGATCATATGAAATTTGTGAACCCTAGCCAGAGTTGATCAATTTTCCTGTCTTCTTTATTTATGACTAAATGATATTAAATTCAAGAGCAGTTCTTAATGGCTGAGGTGACACATGCTACTTCAGATAAACAAGACTGAAGCCAGAGAAGCCTGCCTCTTCCCATAATCCAGGGATCTGTGGGTCTCTGCCTTGGCTGGCTCCTGTTTCACCCAGCTAGATACAAAGAGTCTTTGTGTTTCCTCTTTTACACATGAAGACAAAGAGCAAATGCCTTATACTCCCTACCTAAAATAAAAACAAGTGACTTAAAGCCTTCACGCAGTGTTAAGTTAGTTGAACATTAAGACAAAATTATGCTGAACATATGCTCAAGCTTTAATTATAGAAACTTAAATTCCTGAAAAATAGAGTGAGTTGATAGGAGAAAATGAACATCTTGTCCATTTACATTTTGCCTTGGCATCAATGCATTATCCATACCCTGTTTTCCCCCCAACAGTTTTAGTGATTATTCTGTAAATTACCTGGCTTGAATTTCCTGAGCATGTTTCACTAATATCACAGTCATTTACTGCTTCTCGGCACACAGTCCCCATAGGCTGAAACTAAAATGAACAAAAATCAATGTGTAAAACTGTCCGAGGGAAAAAAAAAAGTCACAGTATCATCTCTGAAAAAGCAAATAAATTTTGTCTGGATGGGAGCATCTTAGACTATTTTAAGATGGTAGTCTGTGAAAACCACAGTTGCTGAATGACATGTTAATCATTTTCAGAGGCAGTTTCTCATGTAAGAAGTAATCTGCAAAGTCATCACACATAGTGCTTACAGTATCTTGCTAAAATAGAAGAGTGTTTAATGGTGTATCTCCACCTAAAGGGCAAGTCAGCCCAAATTTAGTCCAAATAGCTTTTGGATGTCTACTTTACCCTTCATTGTTACTGGCACCTTTAACATACATATATTTTTCCTTATCTGCCAAAATCTTGAAAATGGCATTTGGGGATAAACTGCAAAAGTTAAGATTTTTCATGCAAAACTATTTCCTCCCTGTTACCCATTCCCTTCTCTCCTGCCTCATATATATATATATATATATATATATATGTGTATATATATATATGTATATATACATATATACATATATATGTATATACACCCACACACATGTATATATGTACATATATTTACATACATATAGGTCACATATTCTTTACTAATGTTTCTATTCTTTTTTGGAATTTTTCTGTTTTCAAGCATCTCAAATATTTTCTGTGTAGAAATTATACAATTTAGTTTTTAAGCTCAATGAATTTATAAATTGAAGAATATTCATATAGGAAAACAAACAGGGACACACATATAAAGAAATCATCCTTCCCTCTCTTCTTTAATCCCTTTGCAAAATGTTAACCTTTGGGACTAGAACCTTCTATGTTTTTATCTCTGTGCGCACAAACATACACCACATTTGGAATACCCACCCCTAACTTCTGTATAAACTTTTCTCCTTGTCAACCTCACAAGGATCTCAATTTTCTACTGTCACACTGCCAACTTCAGTCAGGATCTCAACAGACATTTTTTGAATTTCCAAACAAAATTTGTATTAGTTCATTCATCACTAATTACTAGACATTTAAACCCTGCTAGGCACTTGCTAGCCAAAGGGGATTCAATGAAGAATAAAATACAAGAATAAAATCTGCAAGAAATTTGTTTCAGGGGTTATATAGGTCCTAAAAATAAGGCATTAATAAGAGAGGTCATTTAATTTCATATAGTCTTGTTCTCTTCCTTTTGAATTGAGGTAAACCACAATCTTAGAATATCTGAGGTAGAAATACATAAAGATAGGTTATATGCAATTCTGAAAGAAGAGTTCAAGAATTGCCAGAAAAATTCTGATAGTAACTATAGTGAGGGAGGACCTGCTCTAAGTGCTGGGATATAGCAATGAGTATATCCAGCAAACTCCCTGCCCCATTAGAAATTACATTCTGTAACTGGGGAGGGGAGGAATAATAAACAAATAATAAGCAATATTTCACAGCAGGGGTACACAAATTATGGCTTGTGGGCATAATTTGGTTTACTGCCTATTTTGAGAAATGAAGTTTCACTGGAACATAGCCAACCACTTTCATTATTTCTCTCTTATTTAAATTTTATTGAGGTAACACTGGTTTATATCATGTGTAATTCAAAGAGGATCACCTCTTAAGATGTATGTCCACACCACACTCACCACCAAGGTAACCACTGCTCTCTAACATGGTGTGTCTGCATTTTTAATGGTTACTTTCATAGGGGAGGTCTTAGGATTCACAAAGTCTCAACTATTTACTATCTGGCCATTTATTGAAAATCCTTGCCAACTCTGATTTTTAGAAACGTCATTATAAATATTTATAGGAAAAATAGAAATACACATAAATTCTCATCTTCTATATCTCCTCATCCCGGGGTGAGGATGAGGGCAGAGGAAGTGGCAAAAAAGATAGTATTTAACAGGTACAGTTGTGACTTACTTGTGAGATAGTTAATTATGTTATTTTATTGCATGTATTTTTATTTTATTATGTTGTACCTTGAAATGATAGTTCTCTTTACATCATTAATAACCTAATACAATAAATCAAAGAAGAAATGGCATAATAAATGAAAGTGACAGATTAGCAGGCTTATTTTATCTAATGGATGATTAAAATACATGATAGGGGATCTTTTGCAATGGAAGTTAGAGAAGCTGACAGAATTTACAGTCAGCATAAGCCAAAATGAAAAATGTCTGTTTCATATTTGATTTAATCTTCCATTTTAGAGAGTGCTTTTAGAGATTTTTTCCAGTGTCTCACTTGTCTTAAAAATCTGCCAGAGATATAATGGTAAAGTACATATATACCAAAAATTGCTGCCAGCAGATCTAGAATGCAGCTGCATGGCATCCCTCTCTAGCTGAACGAGCCTCCTACCTTATTTCACTTCTTTGTACTGAAATTGCTCAATTGTAAAAATCAGGAATATCTGAAGGAATATCTGTCTATCTGAAGAGCATGCTTGTGAGTATCACCTAAGACAGTGGTGATAAGACCAGGTGTGATTCTGCACCCAAGGGGACATTGACAATGTCTGCAGATATTTTTAATATGACAGAGAAAGGCATTCATTTGCATTTAGTAAGTAGAAGGCTGGGGTGCTGCTTGTTATCTTACAAAGAGCCTCTGATAACAAAGAATTTTTGTTCAAAAATGGCAGGTTCCAGAATTGATAAACCTAATATAACATGATATAAATTAAAAATGCTTTGCATCATTTGGGCAATATGAAAATCTGATATCCTATTCTCCTTAAAGACTCATTAGAATAAAGTGAGTCCATCAACAAATAATCAGTAACACAGTACTATTTGCTATTGAAATTTTACATGTTGATTTATTCAACAAATATTTACCGAGAAACTGGAACAGTTGCTGTATGAGATTATATTTACTTAGCCTTAAAATTTTATTCAGCTGTATTCTTTTTCCTCTGAATTAGCCATTAATCACATTTATTTTACCTTGCACTTTTTACAACACAGACCATCACTGCATTGAGAGTCTTGAGTCAAGGTGCATTTCTTACAACACTCTGCTCCTTCAAGGACACATTCCTAAGGAATATAAATATTTGAAAATCATCAGAAAGTGCTGACATTTCCCAAAAGTACAAGAATATTTTCTAAAATGTGTATAATATTTTATAAAATGTATATATAGGATCTGTCTTCCACAGATCCTATATAATTGCCAGATATAACACTTGTTGTTTATGTCTGAGTGTGGGGGGACTGAAATGATCCTGAATAATCTAAAAAACATCATCAAAACACCCTGAGACTTACTGCTGGGGTCCCACAATCACACTCCTCTCCTGTTTCAATGAAGCCATTGCCACACTCAGGAGGATCGAGAAGCTGTGAATGAAAACCAAAAGTGTAAATAAAATATAGAAAAATCAATACCTAGGATTTTATGAAAGACTGTAAGTGCTACACCTGTATAGCCAACATCTTGTTAATCATTTCAAAATATATTTTTATTTTCCTAAACTAGAAAACATGACTTGAGAACTTAAGACTTAGGAACTTTAGAACAGATGTCTACTTCTGTTTCAAATTCAGATTTAGTAATATTTACATATTTAACATACATATCAAGTACAATTTGGTAAATGCCACTAAAATAAAAGATGATCTAATCATTGGTTAAAACCAAGCCAGAATGACTCTTGAAATTTCATTTCAAACAAGAAGCAAGAGATTTGGAGTCAGAAAGTCTGGATTCAACTCTTGGCTCAGCTACTTGGGCAAATAGCTGGTCATCATCTTAGAATCCAAGTGTTTCAATATTTAACAGAATAATGATAATAATATTAGCTGCCCACCTACATCATACATTGGTAGGAGACTCAATCATCTACAAAAATTCCTTTATTAAATTTATCTCCTTGTGAAAAGAAAGTGTACTTTCTAGAAAATACAAAGGTTAATAAATCCACTGATTCATTAATAAAATATATAGATCTTCCTATTAACAAAGTTTTTCAGAGAACAGCAATAATTTCTCCCAGAGACAGAAGGAACAAGTGTACAGAAGTACATAATACTGTTTTATGTCAAAACTTTCCATTAGCTTTATTACTTTTGGGTATAATTTATCTTATAGAGATAGGTAAATTAGTAAATAAATAATAAATTATTTGTTATGTTCCATATATATCTTAGTAATTCAAATGTTCATCAAAGTTTACATATGATATAATGAAAGTGACACACACACCTATTGACATACACTTACACACATACATACACACAAATATGTACTTAGCAAGGGCAAAACAATCTAGTGAAAGCAACAATGAAATTTCCACTTATTTTAAATACTCTCTCCTCTACCACAAAAGGAATTTTATTTTCGGTAAGAAAGATATTTTAACAAATGAGATAGCTTTGATAGTCAAAACTAAAACTTATACAAATGAAAAACAATTATGGTATCCTACTCTAGGCTCAAAGTAATTATTTGGGTAAAAAGACAAGTTGTTTTTATTTAGCAGAAACAACGTAGTTCAAATATTCCTTCTCATGTTTTTGTAGTCTTAAAATTGTCCATTTGCTTTTCATTTCAATGTGATACAGTTTTTAAAATTCACTATAGTGAACAAAGAATGAAACCTAGTAAATTATTCCAAAAATAATGTCACATATGGCTGTGGTGTCCTGAAACACATCAAATTCTGGGTAATGAGCAACAACAGAGGATTCTTCTTAAACATTGCAAAGTCTTCCAGATGTGTGAGGAAGATGTGCTTTCTAGTCAGAAGATGCACTGTTCTTAGTAAAAACAACAACTTGGTACAGACAGATTTTTCTACTTTAAGCAAAAATTGGCTTTTATAAGGAGAAGTACTTCTAATTTTAATCATATTGCCCATTCTGTTAGGCAATACAAGTTCGATTAATTATCTAATAAGCAAGAGAAAACTAAAATGAAACCATTTTTATAAGCTAACCATGAATTATCATTTGGCCATATTAAAAACCAGAAAAATTTCAGAAAGTAAACACTCATTATATCTGCTTTCTATTCCCAACAGTAATAGCCCCGCAAATACCCAAAAATAAATCTGAACTTTGAAGATATCGACAGTAAGCATATCTAGAATGTGTACATATCACTCAAGTTGAACAACTTTCTTTAAGACTTATGACTGAAATGCAGCAATAATACTTTAGAAATATTTATAACTAATAACCGAGCATACTTATTACCTTAGAAGGTTTGTTGAAAAGACAAGCACCACCTCCACTATTGAGGAATTCATGATATTCTTCAATGTTACACTGGGTAAACTTTTTAGGAAGATAATAGCTATAAGAAAGAAGAAAACCAATGTTTGGGTACAATTCAGTGTCTGTTGTTTGTGAATTAGTCTGAAAATTTGAACATTGTTAAAACTGGACAGTATTCTCAAAAGTAAAAGAATAAATTCAACTTATGTACATTTTCATTCAAACCATATGGGTTTTAATCAGTCTAAATTCTTCATTTGGTGATTAATGGTGACTGTGTCATTCATTATTTGTATACACATTTTAAAGAAACACATATGCTGTAATTTGTATCATAATGAGTTTTTCTTCAATACTTAATTTATTAATACTGAGTCTTTTATACTTATTTAATCTGAGCAAAATCCAAACAAATAACTGACAGAACCTAAGAATGAGCCATCATCACCAAAGTCAAAAAAAGACTGAAAACTGTTTTGGACTAAAGGAGACTAAGAGACATAAAAATAAAATGGGATCTTTGATTCTCAACTTTTGCTAAAATGGCATTATTGAAATAAAGGGCTAATCTTGAATGAAGTTAAGAATTAGATAATGTTATTGGCTGTCCTGTGGTTCTGCAAAAGTATATCCTTATTTACACAAATGCATTCAAAACTGCCTGGGGACAAGGCACCAAGTAGGCAATTTATGACTTAAGGACCAAAAGGCTCTTTGTCACTAGTCTTTTTTACCATTGAGATTATTTCAAAATACAAAACAATAAAATAGTATACAAAAAAATAATAAAAAGTCAACTAAAGAAAAGTGAGAATGCAAGTGAGAAGGAAGAAAGCTTATAGACATCTAGAGGCAGGGATATGGTCCTTACTGGAGGCAATAAGTGAATAGAGAAATTATGCTAAACACATTCAATGAACTATTATAGATATCAATTATCAGTATGGATGAACCTCACAAACACAAAGTTGATAAAAAATCATATCAGAAAAGAATATATATCATATGACAGCTTTCATATTAATTGAAAATATATAAAGTAATACTATGTATTATTTCAAAATACACAGAGGTAGACAGACAGACATAAAGTAAAAGCAAATAAGCACCTATGAATGATGTGAACAAATTCAAGATTGAAGCTGGGAATCAATAAAAGACAACACAAGGGAGATTTAACTTCGTAGGCAGTGTTTGTTTTTAAGCTGGTTGACAGTTACTGTGAAATCAGTCTCTCCAAAAGTGTCAGGAAAGCTTTTCTAAATGTGTCCCATGTAGGCCTCTTGATATGGAGAACTAACTCAATGAAGATGCAGTGAACTTTAGGAGTTGAATGTCATTATTTAAAGAATGCAGATTGTTTAAAGTTGAAATCAGTGAGGACACTAGAGCTGAGGAAAAGCCCAGTCCTTGTACCAGTTCCTGTCTTCTCTAGTTGAAGAAATCATCATTCCCTGAGCTTTCACTCTTTCCCTAATAGGAGAAGCCATCACTGTTCCTCTCTTTGTAACCCAGAACACTTAGTTTGGGAATGTCTCATCCAAGCATAGTTTTATCAGTGAAAATGTCCTTTCTATTTAAACATCTCATCTTTACTCTCAGAGTGAGGATGCAGTCAACCCCTTCTCTGACATGTGAAGTCTCTCCCTGTCTACATGATATCTCAGGTTTCTAAAACAAAATAAATATCCAAGCCCATTCTATAATTCTTTAGAATTTACACCCTTATAAAATCTCCACAATACATTACTAAATTAAGATTTTCCTTTGCTAACCTGACTGATATTGTTTTGATTACTCATCCAGCCCAAGCAGAATCTAGAAGTTTGGGTGATTTTCCTCTACCTGCCAACTGTATGCAAGAATTCACTGTATGATTTGTTATACTCTTTAATGATGATGAAAATGAACTTCAACAGGGGGTAGGGAGAGAATCTAAAAGTTAACTGAACATATAGAATATTATTGAAATAAGAAGATCATAAGACAAAAACGTTTTAAGTAAGATAGTGATAAGCTTGGCATAAAAGAAGCAGTTGCAAGGAAGGAATAAGTTATGACTGTGCCTGACTAAATGGTGGGTAAGACAAGGTTTATAAGCAAATCTCTCCCAGAGAGCAGACTGCACACATTTCTTCCTACTCCCTGTTTGGTGATACACCACTGATAGCTTAAAATTAGTTATTGTGGGAGTATTTACACCATGGAAATCTGATGGAAAGTGATAAATCCAGGCTTTTTTCCTTGTTTTTTATTTTGTTTGTTTCAGAGAGTCAGTTTACTAACATACAACTATTTATAACTTTTATAACCCATTTAATTAGAATTGAAGAGAATAAAAGGAAAGCAATTTGTAGGTAACCATGAAGAACAAAGTCGTTCCTTGTTTCTTAAATTTCCAGCCTAGATTCAAGGCGACAAAAGTCTTTGTCCTACTAGATTAAGTTACACCAACTTGTTTTCATGCATAGAACAATATTTTGTAAAAACATTTTATATACAGAATCACTAAGAAAATCTCCTTTTGATTTTCTCTGAAATGCCCATGTTGAGGTTCCATGTACCAAGTTACTGAGTGTAATACTCCTAAGGAGATGACCGTACATCAGGGAAAGGGTTATTATTTCCTAATAGAAGTGGCTCACCCTGTGTCTCCCATTATGCATCCAGACCACGTATCCTCACATTTACACTCACCTAAAAAAAAAAAAAAACAGAAACAAAACCATATGCTGCCTTTACCCAGTGAGAATAGATGCATTAAAGTAGCTCCTACATTAAAAAGAATTATCTTCACCCTATTCCTTATACACATACCTTTTAAAATGCTTTCTATTTTTCTTATATTTGAAGTTTTTCATGTAATGACTAACAAAAATTTCCTTTGACCCTATCGAGACTACATAATCTTCATTAAAATATTTCGTATTTTAACAAATGGCCTTAGTTTTAAGGCATTCATATAAAGTGACTTACATGAAATACAATCAAATTCTAATGAAATAGTGACACATCATTACAGGATGATGACTTTATAGACCATTAAGGGAATTCTTACAGTTTCTTGTCCACTTTTGGAAGCCTTTTCACCAAACCTGCCAATAAAAGGCAGTGTAGTTTATAGGTTAAGCAGAAAGTCTTCAGAATCAGAAATAGCTGGAGTCAAAACCTTGGATTGCTATTTCACATATATTAATCATGGGGACACTACCCTTTTAAGATTAAGTTACTTAATTCATAAAATAAGGCTAATACATGATATCTTACAGGATTGTCCCAAGCATTAAATGTCTTGATTTAAATAATACTGGAATTCAACTATATGACATATAATACATTCCATAAATAGCAATTGTTATTATTAAAATAAATATATTCATATCATTTTAAATAAAAATAATAAAACATGATATTATTTAATAAAATAAAGATAGATATTAGCAACTTATTCCAAATACCTAGTGTTTGACCATTCCTTTTTTTTTTTTTTTAAGATTTATTTATTCATAGAGAACTGGGATACAAGCCAGAGATGCGGAGGGTGAGAGGATTCACCAGAGACAGAGCGGGGAGCAGAACAGGCAGATCAACGAAGCATACTGCTGAGGGGAGCAGCAGGCAGGTCAGGAGAGGTCTGCCATGCCATGTGGTCACCTCCAGGGCAGGGGGGGATCGAACTCATGCTTTCGCTTCTTAGAGCTGTGCTTTAACCTACTGTGCCACCAGGGAGGGCCCATGTTTGACCATTCTTAATGCAATAATTTCACCTTTGTAGGAAAATACATTACTCATAGATACTAGCCCTAGTACATTTTACTAAACCCATTATCAGGTCTGATGCTGGAAGGAATATTCTATCTACATGGACATACAAGTTATTCTAAATAAAACCATAATGAAACTGTATACTTTAAATCTATATGCCCAAGATACTAATTCCACTATGCCAAACTATGATTATTGTCATCAAATAGCTTTAAATGTTTATCACACATGAAAACATATGTACATAAATATTAATGTAAACATTATTTTTGAAAAAAAAGTTGTGTCCTGGCTGTTTACGTTATTACCCAAATTCTTTTGATCAAGCAACTGTATAAAAGAATCTCATTCCTTAAAATATCTTATAGATATTCTGGGTGCTCCCCTGGTGGCACAGCGGTTAAAGCACAGCACTGAGAGACTAAAGCCACTTCAGCATTCAATTCCCACCTGCCCCGAAGCTGATCCACATGGGCAGCAGACCTCTCCTGACCCATCCACTGCTCCCCTCAACAGTGTACTTGTCCATCTGCCTGTTCTGCTCCCTACTGTCTCTGGTGAATCCTTTCACCACCCCTATACCTCTGGCCTGTACCCCAGTTCTGTATGAACAAATAAATCAATCTTAAAAAAAATCTTATAGATATTCCATTCTAAATAACTGAACCACATGTACATAAACAAACTTACCACTTGCTAACTTCCTTTTGTCTGAGATAATACCCACATTATGGGCTAGTGATTGTGCAAGTGTAACTGCCATTAAATCAGTTTTCCCAAACTAAAAAACAAAGTACATATGAATACAAGTTAATTTTCATTAAAGATGGGGCAGAGAAAATGTCATAAAATAACTGAAAATAAGAAGTCACTAAGCATTTTATTTAACAGAGATTAAATACATAGTGGCTATTTACTAGTAAGCAGAGGGGAAAGGTAGTAAGAAATAAACCCATGTTTGATTAAGTCTAATATTATGACCAGAAATGCAGAAATTGTCAATGTTTAGAAATTATCAATGTTTTTGAGATTGGAAGCTTAAATCTAGTTCTGAATCCAAATTTTACTAGCAACATTCCTGAAAATCTTAATCCTTATATATTATTAAATCAGTCTTTCAGGTGATGCAAAATAAAAGTACAATTTAATTTGAACTTGCTCATCTTTTTGTATCCACTTGCACTCCTGAAATTTATCAAAACTGAAAAGAATGTGGCTTCAAAACACAAATGATATGGATCACAGGTAGTGGTGATGATCTTTGGCTAAAAGAAACTTGAAACAGCCTAGGAATCTTTTTTTTCTTTGATATGTTGTCTCTAAAGATTCAAGCATTTTTATTTTGGATCATTTCCATCAGGTTTACTGTCTGTCTGAGGGGTAAAAAGAGCCTCTGGAAAACCTGATATATTTTTTTTTCCCCAAAGAATTTGCCAAATAGTGAAAAGGAAGATTCCAAATGGGTTATTAGGCAGTAAGCCAATGCTTCAGGGCAGTACCCAATCCTTTGGAAAATCAGTCTAAGTGACAAACAGGGCCTTATTTTCAATGAAGGTAAAGATTCTCTCTATATAATCTGTAAATAGTTAACTCTGAAATTACTATAAGTAGTAATTCTCAGGTGCTATCTCCCATTATTTATTTATTGGTAATTTCAAGTAAGCATACTAGTTGTTAATGAAACAACCTAACATCTAGAGTTTATGGGATACTGAGAAATTATCTCTGAAATATTAGAAAAACATTTTCAGCCATCATACCACTTTGTATTGTACAGATGTTCACACCTACTTCATTCACGCCTCCTCCTTTCAGCAACGAGCAAATCCCACCAATATAAGCTGCCCCGCTCCGGCTACTCTCAAATTGACTTCCCCTTTCAGAAAAGGAAATGAAAAACGCTTACTGCTCACAGTTCAAATATCAAGCACCTCTCATTATTCATTTATTACATTTTTTTTTCAAAGCACATAACATTTCTATACTCTATGTTCCTAAGTTAAGGGAGAAATGTGAATACTGCTTACATATATAGTTAAAGGGCTTTTGAGATGTTTCCCCACATGATCAGTAACTACCTTAAATAGATCTTTGCATATTTTAAAAAAATAGTACATACTATCACATATACAAACATCACTTCTGTGGTGTTTCTGTCAAAAATCTGTAACTTGAATCTCAAAATGAGAAAATATCACCATTCTATGAAATAATTGACTTATACTCTTCAAAAATGGTTACCTCAAAAAAAGGACTGAGGAAATCTTTCCGATTAAAGGAAAAATAGTCATGATCATTAAATGTAATGGTGACCCTGGATTAGAACCCAGGTTTGGGGAAGAAAGGGATTAGCTATAAAAAACATTATTTGAGACAATTTAAAAAATTTGAATATGAACTATGGACTAGATTAAGGTGTTACACCAAAATTAAATTTTTGGTTTTAATAATTTACTGTGATTATATAAGAGAATGTCTTTATTCTTAGGGAATATACACTTAAGTATTTTGTATTGAAGGCCCAGTAATTATCTCCAGTTTTCTCTCAAATGGTTCAGGAAAAGAAAAAAAAATAAAGATTAAATAGGTAGATGAATGAAAGGAAAAAAGGAAGTGAGGAAGGAAGTAGAGGAAAAGGACAGAAAGAAGGAATTCATAAAACAAATGAGGCAGATGTAAATAATTGATAAATCTGTTTGAGGGGCATAAGGTATTTCTTTGTAATGTTCTTACAACTTTTTGTAACTTTGAAGTTATGTAAAAACAAAATTTTACCCTCAAATACACTCTTCTAATTTCATATTATCTTTCTTCAACAGCACTGACTTTTGGTGACAGGTTTTTAAAAATGTTATTACATATAGCTTTCTAGTATTTCAAATATACATGTTTCCCCAAAAATACTAAGACAAAATAAAATATGAACTCCAGAAATACTAAGCTCTCTTCTTAGAACTCAAAACAAAAATAGCATTATGTTAACATCTTTAAAAGATATAATTAATTTGTTAAGAATTCCCTTTGAGTAATAATAGCACTTTCATACATTGAATACACTGGTTAAGTCTCTTGAAAAATTAAATGAATTATATATGCAATAACTCAAAATTAAACCCATGACAATTTCAAATAATTTAAACTTTAAAACTTCTTCCAAATGTATCTGCCATATCAATCCTAATTGTATTATACAGTAGAAAGGATACATCCCAGCTGTAAGTAATAGAACATTTAACATGGAACCAGAAAAAGTAATCATTACAGAAGTTACGTACGAAAAAAGGTGAACTGCATCACTTTTCTCTTTGATAAAATCCCTCCTGTATTTCATAAACTCACGTAGGGTGATCAATGGATTTTCAGATATGGCAAACTTGTTGTCAGCCGCCCAGGTTTCCATGGCAACCAATACTATCCTTGTCTTAAGTTGGTCTTTATATATCTAGTATATTAACAAAATGAACACACCAGCTGTACACATGGCAAAATCAAATGATTTATGAACAAGACTACAAAGTTCCTTTAATGGAAACACTGAGTTCTAGTTAGATGTGAGAAACTTCACTTTTTTAGGATGAAAATCATTTTCTAAATTACATGCATTTCCCTTCAGTAACAGAGTCAAACTGTTACAAGTAACACACAAAGAACAGAACACTAGCTAGAAACAAAAGGTAAATTCTTGATAAATATCTGCAACCTTATTCAAGACATTCCCTGAGTCCAATCCTTATGCCCTAGACAAAGAATTCATGCCTTCTTGAGTCTCTCAGCAAAAAAATGGAACAATGAAGACTCTCCAAGGAAATAAGTTCTATGCAATATGACTGACCCTGATTAAACTCATAAAGAAGGTACTTGGCGCTTCCTTGTCCAGGACAAGATTGCACCAGGCTTTTGAAAAAGGCACAACCACTGTACTGCTTCTCCATTGTCAGAAGTACACTATGACTATCATTGTTAGTGGCTATAATTCAAACTTTTCTAAAATGTGAAGAATACAGGAAAAACCTCGACATAAATCTGTGGGTATCTTTGACCACTTCCTTTCATCATCTTCCCAATAAGAGATTAAACTCAATAAAGTCAACTGCAAGGTTAAGAGGGGCTTTCAGGATACCTTGGCTGAAGTATAATTTAGATTAGTGAAAAATATAAGATTCATCATCCATTCAATTAGCAGTCAACAGATAAAATTCCACTAATGAACTATTGACTCATGTTTGTTACTTACCAAATCTGCCATGTTCACCACAGATTTTGCATACGTATTGGTATGTACAACTGAAAGCCGATGTTTTTTAAACTGAAAGCAAAAGAGAACAGGTGGAAGGCTTTCAACATCAACAGCAAATGACCACCTCAACAGAGAAAACATGGTGTAAATGAAAGATCTCTATAGCTCTCTATAAAAAAAACAAAACAAAACAAAAAAACAAAAAAACAGAAGAATCGAGGCCTAGTTCTTTATATATTGTGTAGTCTAATGCAAGGTTCTTAAACATTTGAAGTCTCCAGTTGTTCATCTGTAACATGAAGTAAAAAAATATCCAATCTATCTCACTACTTTATTTTAATCACAGGATTATTTTCAAAATGATAAAGCATGAACTTTGTCTATAAACTTCAAAAATGTAAAGACAAGTAGAGTCAAAGCCAGAAAAGTGAATGTGAACATAGATAAAAATATAAAAGTTTTCAAGTTCCATAAGATTTTAGTAAGATCAAAAAAGACCTAGAAGTCACAAAGAGAGATTATAAATTAGCTCTGCATCACAGATTTCCTTGGTTTGACTTGAGCAGTGTTTTTAAAATCAGGATTTGTGATATAAAGCCTGATTTTTGGCTTCAATTAAAAGCAACATCCTCACATTTCTAGCTGGTTGACACTGAAAGGCAGGGCTCCACTAGATAGGCATGTGTCCTTTCTTTCACACAGGCCTCACCCCTCCTGCTTGTTTTACACCTGGCTCATTTTATTTGTGTTATCAGCCTACATGTATCTATAGACATCTGAATTTGTGACATCCTAAAAGATTTTAAGTTGATGTTCTTATGACTTATTTTTAAGAATCTCAGGGAACATTCACTGTCTTCAAATAAAAGGATAAAACTTAGTCCCACATTGAACAGGAAAGAAGCACTTAATCTTAATTGTATCACATCATTATTACTAACAATAACAAAAATCAATATATGTTAAATTGCATGTAAATAAATGACACATGTCCTCACAAATCACTCGCAGTAAATTAAAATGCACTTATACCCGAAATTAAGTAAAATTCAGCAGTGTGCACCACAGAACATTTTTTGCTTAAAATTCTGGTTGCATGGAATAAGCATTATAACTCACTGCTGTGCTGTGAATGTAGCCATACTGACTACATTATGGCCATGAATTTACAACATTCTCATAAATTGAATATATTGCATGAAGTGATTATGACAAAGCAATTGCCATTTTGGAAGGAAGTTTTGCCAATTTTTATCCTAAAAATCTCTACTGTTTATTAATATAGCCTTTCCATATGGCTGATTGCATTGTAAGACAGAACTAGAAATACTGATTTTCTTTTATTTGAATAAAGTTACAAATTGCAAAAATTATACATTGGTGCCTCTTCACTTATTCAATAAAAAGTGGAAGCTTCCATTTTTGTTTAAACCATGCCATTTTAGTAGAGGAGGTATTAGGCCCATAATTGATCAAGTAAATTTAAAAAGTTGACATTGTGAGTAAGAAATATTATTGCAATCATGTAAAGTAATGCAAATTTCTTCTACCTCCTAGGGCTTCCTTCTTGCAGATTATCTCTAAATAAGAAATATATTGGTTACACAGATACCTTCTGATTTATGGCTTGTCTTTTCTAAAAATAAATCTGTGCCTAGTTTTACCCTTGACATTGAAAAAGTTCCACAAAACCTACCATGAGATGATCATTCACAATCATTAGTTCAATGTATTTGGTTTCCTCCTCAACATTGCGTGGATGTCTCCGAAGCTGCAATAGAGCAAAGGGAAGTATCAACTAAATAAACTTTGAATTTCACTGTAAAAAAAATTAAAGAATATGTTATATATTAGTTTCTTAGATCTTAATATTTAAATGTTCTCACTGTGCCCACTCACAAAATAAAAGTAAACATGAGCTAATACATGTTAATTTGATAGAAGGAATCATTTTATAATTTACATACACATATAAAATTATAAAACATTAAACACTTTACACTGATAATTATACCTCAATAAATCTAAAAAGAAAAACTCTAAAAACTATGGGAGGAAAAAAATTATCCATTTTATTCTTTTTTGCAGTTGCATAAATGTTTATAAATTTACTTAGTTTTTGAGTAGATAATGATTTTACATGATTCAAAATTTAAACAATACTTTGGTAGTAGGAAAACTATGATGACCACACCTGAGACCACACCTGAGACCACACCTTGAGGGGAGAAATATTGTATTGTGAAAACAAGGATGCTTGAAAAATAAACTAAAAACAACAACAACAACAAAATTTAAGCAAGACATAAAGAATGAAAATGTTCCTCCCATGGGTTCCCCATCTCCCTAATTGTTACACTTCATCAAAAATAGTACACATAGTTGGTTTCTTTCAGAAATATTTATACCTATAAAATGAAATATGAGTTGACATATTTTTTACTCTCATTTATTTCACTCTCTTTTACGTTAGAGATTATAAGATCTAAATCATATCCTTTATGATTTAAGCTTCTGACACTCTCTGACAGAGTACAGGACTGCGATGATTGGCATTTTTATTCCATAATCTCCAAATCTGGGAGATTTTAGGGGATGCTTAAAATGAAGTAGAGATTTTGTTAAAATAGAGTTGAGAGTTTCCAGGCAGTCATGGATTATCTAGCAAGGGTATACCAACAACAAACTTTCTCCACTTTCAAATTCACAATCAGTGAATGTTACCAGTAATAATCACTAGCAAAACCTTATTCCTTTATTCTCTTTAGTGAATGTATAACACAATCTTTAAAAATATCTACAAAGTTAACTTTTCCATTATGCCATACTTCAACATACATTTTTTTTAATAAATCTTTTTGTTCATTGCCCAAGGGTTATTTAGTGATACAATGAAACCTAATTAATACCCAAATATTTGTTTTGTTTGTTGCAGTTACAACAAACTCAAAAGTTGTTACCATATGTACTTTGTTGCACTGCCTGTGTCATTTACAAACCTTGCAACTTTTTTTCCAAAAAGTTGGAAAACCAAGTTGATAAGTACTAACACCAATTTAATACAGAATAGCACACTATAATTCTGGGGTTAGGAACCAAGAATATCACAAACCCAAGGGCAATGACTGTCTGTCTGTCTGTCTATCTATCTTTTTTACATCATTCTTCAGTTTTGTACAATGCGTGCTTTTTCATCTTGGTTGTAGCCCCCACGGCATTCCCTCCACCAATTCACCTGTGTGCCATCACCATAGCCCCTTGTGTTCTTTCCACCCCTGTTTTCATTCTACTCCTCCCTCTCCACCCCTCTGCAGAATGCCTCTGGTCTATAATTGTTGATTTTGGTTTTTACTTTATTACAATTACTTTTTTTTCCTGATCCCTTATATTCCTCCTACAAGTGAAACCATCCCATCCGGTATTTTCTTTTTCCTTCTGGCTTATTTCACTATGCATGATCCCTTCCAGTGCCATTCATGTTGCTACAAATGGCATGAGCGTATGCTTGTTGACTGCTGAATAATATTCCATTGTGCATATGTACAACATCTTCTTGATCCAGTCATCTATTTTTGGGCATTTACATATTATAAATAGTGCTGCATTAAACACCGGGATGAAGGTGTCCTTTTGAATTAATGTTGCTATGTCCTTTGGGTAGATATCTGGGAGTGGAATTGCTGGATCACATGGAAGCTCCATTTTTAGTTTGAGAAACCTCCAAACAGCTTTTCATAGTGGTTGAACCAGTCTGCATTCCAACCAGAAGTGTAAAAGAGTTCCTTTTTCTCCACACACTGGCCAACCTTTGTTCTTGCTAGTTTTTTTTAATGTGTCATTCTTACTGGTGTGAGATGGTACCTCATTGTGGATTTGATTTGCATTTCCCTAGTTATGAGTGATGTTGAACATTTTTTCATATGCCTGTTGGCCATTTGCATTTCCTCTTTGGAGAAATGTCTTTTTAGCTATTCTGCCCATTTTTTGACAGGGTTATTCTTTTTGTTTTTGTGTTTCATAAGCGCTTTGGAGATCTTTGTGATCAGTCCTTCATTATTAGTATTGTGTGCAAAAATTTTCTCTCAACCAGTGAGGTGAATTACATTTTTTTAAATGTATGTTTTTATTATGACAGTATCTGCTTAATTAACTATGCAAGAGATCTGAGTCCACCAAACATACTAAACTTTTTAACAAGTCTCAGTATTGTCTAATGTCAGAGAATTGCCATATTGGTTATGTGACCTTAGAACACTTCACCTGCACAGGTTCACAGTTTCACAGTTTTATCAGGAACAAAAATTAAGACTCTATACTTAGCAAATCACTGAATGGTGAAGATGTTTATGAAGAACTTCAAGGAACATGCCAAGAGAAAGTGACATTATTCTCTCATATCAAAATTTATGAAAAAAATACACGCACACATACATACACACACAGGTATGTATTCACAAAATACACAAAGTTCATGACTGTAATTTATGGAACACAAGGGCTCTCAAAGGTAGTATATAAAGTGTATGTGACTACCAGCACTTCAACAAGACTAAACTAAGTTATAATCCTGTCTGGTTCCTTCAACTTCTTGACTTTACTAGAGATCTACTTCTTTCATCCTGTGATATTCTCTCTCTCTCTCTCTCTCACACACACACACACAAACAAACACACACACACACCAACCACTGTGACAAGGGTGATATCCCAATTCTGATAAACAGAGATCTTATTTTACATAAACCATTTACTAGCTGTATGATTTAGCTATCATTTTTTTTTCTGTGAAAGAGGAGGAGCAGTACCCAATTTAAGTGATTTAAAGCACTGTATATTTCCTATTACTATAACTAAGTCCAGAAAACGTCCCAGACTCCAAATATGATAATAGCATTTTGCGGCATCAAAACCTAATGAATTCACTCTTAAGGGGATATCTTTAAGAAGATAAGTTCAAGGTTCTATACAAGTGGACTCTAAGATACAGTTCATACCTAGGCCAGGAAAGAGGCCTATGATAGAAAGAACCTGATGCCACAGTAAGGGGCCAATAATCTATGTATAGGATGAATAACCAGGTTTTCATCATTATCTTGAATCCTGTTTTGAATCTAGGAAATAATATTTCCCATCTTTTCACTGCTCCTGCAAATCTGTGGGACCCTACTATGTCCCACACCCTGAAAAATGCTTACCCTGTCAGAGAAACTTAATGTGAATTAAATCAATTGGTAAGTATTTTTAAAACATCATGACATATACCTGTAAGTACATACCTGCCGTCTACTCCTATTTGATCTTGGCTTCAAAATAAATTTTGGAGGAGTGATGTTTACATGTTGGAATTCTAAAAGGAAATAAAGATAAATTTAATTTAATGTGTTTGCTATGTTTCTCTTATAAAGGGCAACAAAAGCTTTACTAACCTTTCCTAGTATAAATCATATTATTATACTTTAATTATTCATTATTAATAGTGCTCATTATTATTTGCACATTATAAATTATTAAATTATACAGTGCTGTACTTAAATTCTACTTAATTACTAATCTTATAATAATAATGATATTTATAAATTATGTAATTATGAATTTTATAACACATGTTATACTAAATGATAATACAAAACACTAAACTATGTAATTGTGTAAATAAACATAACACAAATGAATAGAAATCTCACACATCATCCCTGCTCTAACTTACCTGAAAATGTTTCTCACATTTCTCCTATAACTATCATCACATTCCTTATAAAGAATCTTGTAAATGGAAAACTTGACCTTCACTTTGACAACAGAAACTCCATTAAAGACATCAATATTGACAAAGATGCAGAACAGTTAGAACACTCAAATAGTGCTGACGAGAGGATAAAAAGAATAAATACTTTGGACTAGTAGCATCAACATTATCTGTTAACTGCTGTAAATGTAAATTCTCATAATCAACCAAGATGTACTGAATCAAAAACTCTAGAAGTTGGTATAGCCACTCTGGAAAAATGGTATGGAGGCTCCTGAAAAAATTAAAAATACAGCTACTACAATTCAGCAATTCCACTCCTGGTGTATAGTCAAAGGAACTGAAATCAAGTCTGATTGCAAGAGTTACCGGCATTCCCATGTACATTACAACAATATTCAAAACAGCCAAGAAATAGAAGCAACCTAAATATACACTGATGGATGGATGGACGGAGAAAGGAAGTACGGTGTGTGTGTGTGTGTGTGTGTGTATACACAATGTAATAGTATTCAACCTTAAAAAAGGAAAAGAGCAAAATCTTGCTTTTTGTAACAATATGGATGAAACTAAAGAAAATTAAGTTAGTAGATAAGACAGACACAGAAGGACAATACTACATACCACTTATTTGAGGAATCTAAAATAGTCAAATTCATAGAAACAGAGAGTAGAATGGTGAGGTGACTGCCAGGAGCTGAGGGGAAGAGGAGGGAAAAGAAGGTACTGATCAAAGGGTCCCAAGTTTCAGGTATGTAAAATGAATAAATCCTGGGTATTATACAGCAGAGCGTCTGTAATTAGCAGTCCTATACTATATACTAAAATTTTTGCTAAGAGTGTAGATCTAATGCTAAGTGTTCTTATCATAATAATAAAGAGGGCAGGAGAAATAATTTGAAGCTGATAGATATATTAAAGCATAGATTATGGTGATGATTTCATGATGTATATTTATGTCCAAACTCATAAAACTGTAGATATTAAATATGTATAGACTTTTGTATGATGATGAGAAATCAATAAAGTATTTTAAAACAATAACTCTCAAAATGAGACCAGAAACTATGTTTAATAAACATTCTGGTTGATTCTAAAGCTTCAGAACACTTTTATATATATAGTTACACATATACCAATCCTCTGACCCAGTAATATTACTCCTAGGTAGTTATCAAGAAATGCAAATGTATATTACCAAAACAATTTTTACAAGAATGTTCATAGATGTTTAATTTATAATAGTCAAAAACTGAAAATAATCTGAATGACCTCAACAGGACAGATTTTAAAATGTAGCTTATTCATATAATAAGAATATACCCAATAACTTAAAGGAAACAACTACTGTTTTCCCGGACAACAGAAATCTCACAGGCATATGAGGAACAAAAGAATCTGGACTTTGCATGATTCCATTAGTACAAAAATAACAATACACTAAACCAATCTATGGGGGGAAAGAAGCCAGAAAAGGGATTGCAGAAGTGAGAGGCATGGCCTGAGAAAAAATATAAGAGAGGCTATCTGGTTATGGAGAGTCTCTAGATCTCCCTGAGGAGTAGGGGAGAGGAAATCTGTATGTGTCAGCACTCATCAAATGATACATAAGATTGTGTAAATCACTGTGGTAATTTTTAAAGCACATAGTACTAAGGTGTCCATAGCAAATGCATAAGCCTTCCTCAAAAATCTCTTCTTAGGTACTCTCGTCTTGAGAAAGGTGTCATGTAAAGCAAAAGGTTCTACAATTTGGAGAATACCTATCTCTGGGAAACACATACTGCATAACAAGACAGAAACTGATAATCCATAGTCCAGTTCAATGTTATAATACTTAAGCTAACTTTTGAACTTATTTTACAAACCTTACAATTTTAACACTTATCTTTCTTATTCTTCTGATTTGCCATTATAATTGTCAGTGTCTTAGGAGACAAATAATACAAACAACAATTTAGGGGACAAATTGACAATGTCAACTTCTAATGAGGAAAGACAACCAAAACTAATTGAGACAGACCTTAATTTTCAAAGAATATTTTTATTTTTTAAAAAAGAATATTTTTAGAAATTAAATTTTAAAAAATTAAAAAATTACAGCACTGCCATGTCATCTCCAAAAGAAAAGAAACTCTGAGTAAAGTTTTTAAAAAGGTTAAAGTTTCACCAAAGCAAGTCAACATATATTACTTTAAATAGCAATTAATGTTTATTGCTTCCAATAATAAGAAACTCTGTGTAAAGTTTTTAAAAAGGTTAAAGTTTCACCAAAGCAAGTCAACATATATTACTTTAAATAGCAATTAATGTTTATTGCTTCCAATAATAATACCTGTTGCACTGTAACTATTCTTCTCAGTTGCTCATAATTTATTTTCTTCAATAATAGGGATTATAAAAAGTTTCATAAGGTAATTAAGGAATAGTCAAAAGTGTACAGTAAGAACATCTATACATTTGCAGATTTTTCAGAGTAGAGAGTCATATCTCTTTGGCAGCAGGAGAGAGGAGTGTTTCTCTTTAGGGTGAATATGGAAAATGAAAAAGTTAAATTTATTTCAGAGAAGAAGTGACATTATAAACACTTCATTTTCAGATGAAGAGACAAAGTAAATTTTTAAGAGATTTCCTGAAGCAGTACTTTAGGATTTGCTTTCAGTCTAGCAATTTTTCCATTTCTCCTTGGGCATCTTTCCCAATATATGTTCCTCATAATGTCATAAACCAAACCCCCATTCAGTTGCTTCCCTCCAATTCCCTCTTGAAAAGAAATTAGATGAACCTCTGTTTTTTCCAACCAACAGGTAGAAATAACAAATTGCTAAGATAGAGCTATTATATAGATTAAAATGAGATTAAATATGAACTAGTTACAATGTTCCTGGACAGGGCTTACTAAACAGGGGAGGAAGCATCTATCTCCATGCTAAAGATTTGGAGCATGCTTTGTCTTCAGAAGAACAAAGAATGAGTCTGGAAGAGCCAAAGATGAATGCACCAGCCATCACCAGTGCCCACTGACTAGGCCAAAATGTGAGTACTCTGCTCGTGTCCTGTAAAGATTTGGGTGTAATATTCATCAATATTAAAAATAAATGGGTCTACAGACATGCTTGAAAAGATTAATTTCACAATGAGCAAAAAATAAAATAATACAAAACATTACTATCTAATAGTTCTTATAATGCTAAGACAAAAACCAGATAAGGAAAACAACAAATGGGAAAATGATTAAGAGGTCATGCCTATGTCTATAAAACCAGTATTTTATCAGGAGTAAATTTTTATAGATTTCATCTGTGCAGACCAGGTTTTACCTGGAGATTTCTCCTAAAGTACATTTTTTAAATGTTAAAATTAAAAGGTATTTTTCTTCATGTGCTCAGTCTGTCTCTTTCCAAATTCATCCACTCTAAACTGTAGTGCAAACAATAGTTTGCATTTGATTAGTCCCTTTCATGTCACTTTATCTCTAAAATCATAATGAGTTGTCATAGGTTAATGATGCGCTCTATGTGTTAGTGCTAAAGCATTAAAATGAATTATTAAGTTGCATTTTTTTTAAATCACTCTATGAATACCATACCAGATGGAAGATCATCCAAGGGAAATTCGAACAGTCTGGATTTGTAAACCGAATGAAAACGGAAATCCTCCTGAAATAACACACACAACAGAGATTAAGTACATACAACCAGCTATCTCCAGGCTAAGGCAGTCACAGGTAGAGAAGCGAGACACTTGCAATGAGTTTGCATTTTTCTGGGTTTGGAAAAACATTGAGCCATTACACAACCTCTCCCATTCACTCCTGTGCTCTCCCAGCATCTGAGTGGTATCCTTTTAGAAGCAAAATACCTTCATCAACAGAGAGAAGTCAAAGCTGCGGTAATGGAAAACGAATGGATCTAATCCCTAAGGAGAAATGAGACATCTGGGAAAATGGGTTAATGTTCTTTATGACTGTTTCCTTTTCACAAATCCCTACACTCTTTTAGAGCCAAATTGCTTTGCCAGGCAAAGACTGCAGAACTAACAATTTTCCTGGTAATGGGGAGCAGAAGATCTAAGCAGATGCTCAAAGTGGATCCTGCTACAAATTTTAATTTGTCTAGAAAATTCTGTGAAAAACCCAGATAAAAAGCTACATTTTGTCTAAAAAAACTAAGGTATACTCAAATAACTTCTTCAAATGGTCTCATACAATCACTAAAAAAAAGTCATAAAGTCAAATTTTGTGCTAAAAATTTCAAAAAACCTCAGAATCAAGCAAAGTGACAGGATAATCAGCAGCAGGTATCCTGGAAATAAAACACAATATAGAATGTTCCCCCAAACAAAGTCATGTATGGGTGGCAAAACAATATATAAAACTTGAAATTATTTCCCTCCATAAATGTTTAACAATGTTCGTGATTCTGTGAAGAATACCTCTGTGTACAGAGCTAGACAATAAATATATTTTTCTATTAGAAGTGTTTCTCTGTAATCCAATATTAATTCAATCCTGTTCTACTTTTTTGAAAACAACTTTCAAGTAAAATGAACGAAACACAGGAAAATTTTGATTTCTTTCATCTTCATCAACACAAGGCCTTAAGCCTTAAAAAAAAAAAAAAAGAACAATAGAGAGAAGTTTGGAATCTAAAAAAAAGGGAGGGATAGAAGATCACATATGTGTTTCTAATCTGTTATGAACTGACTGTGTCCCTGTTGGAGAAGAGGCCTGTGAGAAGTTGATAAATGTTAAAACATCTCATCAGGGTGGGAGTCCTAATCCCAAAGTATGAGACACACCAGTCCTTGTTCAAGAGGAGGCAGTCTGCAAGTTAAAGAGAGAGACCTCAACTAAGACAGTAACACTGCCTGCATCTTGATACTGAAATCCAATCACCAGACCTGTGAGAAAATAAAACTTTATTCTTCAAACCTTTCAGTATCTCCTATGGCAGTCTGAGCAGACTAAAACAGATCATAGTACATTACGGTGTAGATAGCAATGGCAGTTTCAGAAGATCACAGAAGGAAAGTATCTCTAATCTAAAGGAGGAGTAAGAGACAGATTTTTTGAAATTTGATTACTCAATTAACTAATATATATATATACATATTTATACACACACACTCACACATATTTGAAAACTTGCATTACTTGCATTTGTATATATACATATGTCTGTGTGTATACATAAGCAGCTGCCTCTCTCTATATATACACACACATGTATATGCATTTTACTATCCTAAACCTAAAAATATGATAACGCCCCTAGCATCCATTTTTACATTTGCCACAGCAAATAGGAGGAGCACTTACTTGGGAGGTATCATTTTCTTCTGGCTCAATAAGATAGGTGTGGTTTCCATCACAGAACATCCCACTGTCAAGAACAAGAAAGAGTTAAGACATGGCCATCAACTCTTGCCTTAGAACAGGATTATTTTAAAATCAGCATCAGCCAGCAGGCATATTTACTTCTCAGTACACATGTCCCAGTCTTACCACTTAACACCTGAAACATATCACATACCACACCACACACATATATACACCACACACCTACATACACACAACATGCTCCTGAGAGGGAAAGGCCCCTATTGATTTCCCATAAGCAACATAATCCTCTCATCTTCCTTTTAACATATAATTTAAGACTTTACTATGCAAATAGTTACTTGGAGAGCTTATAAAAAAATGTGAAACGTTCAGGGCCTTCCTTAAGTTTCTTAGCTGTGGCCCAGCAAACTACCGGGCCAAATCCCAAGTATTTCTGAGACAGGTTATGAGAGGCTATATTGAGAACTCCCTACCTACCATAGGTCTGGAATAAGCTTTAGCAACAAGAGCTGACACATGTCAACAATTTACCTCATGCTAATACTTCACATTCATTTTATCATTTCCACAATGTATAAGGGAGGTAAAGCAGCTATCCTTATTTTACAAGCAAGGATACTTAACTTGCCCAAATTATATAACCAGCAAGAATAGAGGCAGGAACAGAGCACAGGTAGATTAGTTCCTGAGCTGTCTATCCGCAAACAGCTACCCCCCTTCCCTCATTCAACAGGGTAATTGTTGTGGGTACAATGGGAATAAAACCACTGACCAATTTTCTCCCTTCACAGTGATGAAGTATATTCTTAGACAGATAATAATATATAATAAACAATTATATACTAGATGGTGGCAACTCTAGATAGAAAAATAAAGCAGGTAAAGGGCAATAAAGGATGCCAGAGAATTAGGTGTGAGAGACCATGCCTAGAGGGGCAGAGCAAGGATTCTCAGTAAAGGTGATGTTTAAGCAAAGATCCAAAAGAAGTGAAGGAATGAGTCACAACAATATTATGCAACAGTATCTCAGCTATGAGCTCACAGGTAAGAGAATGGTGGTGTGTTCCTGGAGTATCAAGATTGCAGGTATCTGGAATAGAGCAGGAAAGGAAGAGAGTAGCCTCAAATGAGGTCAGGAAAAGTGGTGCATTTTATGTAGATCTGCCTGAGAAATTTGGCTTTTACTCTGAGAGAGATGAGGAACTGCAAAGTTCCAAGCAGAGGAGAAACAATCTCTCTTAACTTTTGAAAGAATTCCTCCAGCAGATCCACACCAGCTGCTAGGTCTAACATTAAATTTCAGGATCATGAAGACAGGAATGGAAATGTTACTGCCATGATCCAGATGAAAGAAAAAGATGTATCAGGCTGGTGATGGTGGAGGTGAAAAGACCAGATTAATTTCTGAATATTTTTCCAAAGCAGAACCAGTAAGATTTGTTGATAGATTTGAAATATAATGTGCAAGGAAGTCAATGAGAACTCAATTTTTTAGCTGAGCAACTGGAAAGATGGCACTGCCATTTAATAAAGGAAAATGTTTCAGAGAAAATGGGTTGAGCACATGCCAGCAGGGTACAAATCAAGTTTGGTTTGGACTTCTCGGGCTGGAGATGACTATCAGCCAATTGGGAAATCCTCTAGAGTCCATCTGAAGCAATCCTAATAGCTGCTCCTTTTAGGGGAACATGGGCTTTCTACTAGGATCAGCTCCCTTATAATGCTAAACAAACCTATCTTATCATTCAGGCAGCTGATAGGGGGTTGAAGCTGATTTTCGGTAGTCATTTCTCAGTGTTAGCTGGAAATGATTGCATGGCACTCATTGTGTAAAACAGAGAATAGTATTTGCCTTTCATTGATGGCTTACTGAAATCATTTGGTTTATCTGAGCTATCATATAATAGTCTCTAGCTCTCCCTCTCTACAAATTCCTTCATTCCTGCTATAAAATCTTCCATATGTCCTCAACTTGTGTATTCTTTCCCAACTGCCTAGTTATACATCTGAAGGTTTTCAACTAAAAGTGTACTTTTTGAATGTGGCTGACCTTGCATTTGGAATTTAAAGATAAAAAGCTAAGTCTGCAAGATATAAGGAATCAGTGGGAAAAGTTGTTTTTTTTTTTTAACAGTAGGCCAACAATGAACCTTTTTCTTTGTACCTCTATTGATAAATGGTGAGATCTATGCAGAAAATTAGATAAAACCTTCACCACTTGCAATCACTACATGGCTGTGCAGACTATGTAGCAAACATAAAACATTGTTTGAATAGTATTGAGTGTCATTACCCCTCGCATGAGGTCAGTGTCCATTGTGAGAATCAGTGATTTTGACTGTGTATATGTAACATGATACACAGTATAAATACAGCAGCTTCTGCTGCTATTTATTTTCAGAAGACTTTGGTTCCTGGCATGAAAATATTAAAACAGTCATTATTACTGCTTTAATAATTAAAAAGTCTATGCATTGTATTTGCTTTCTGTCATATTTACGTATAAATTATACTAAGTACGTTGACACCATAACTTAGTGTATTCTTCTTATTAAAAACCTGCAGCTAGGACTTGGGGATGGGAAACCCACGGGGATTACAATTGAGATGGAAAAAAAAACAAAAACAAAACAAAAACCTGCAGCTAGGACTAAGACATTACACATCAATCAAACTACCATTATAAAAGACTGTAATCAAACAAGATGCTGAAAGGAAACAACCATTCTTACAAATTGCCACAAGAGGGCAATATATTTACATATCAGTCCATTCTTTAAGGTTTCCATAGTTACAGGTTTTGTCATAACATCAAACTACCAGAACCAAAATATTGCTCTGATTAATGCTTTGATATTGAAAACCATGTTCTTGCAGGTGCTTTATTAGAAAGGGAAAAAAGTCTAAATATTTTTCCTGTAAAGTTCTTTCACTGAACTGAGTAAATAAAAATTGTAAAGCCCCAGTATGTACTTGGTACTTTATAAAAGATGAGTCATAGACAAAACAATATATCTCATATCTGGACCTCCCTGGTGGCACAGTGGGTTAAAACAGAGCACTGAGAAACTAAAACCACTTCCACATGAGTTCGATCCCCGCCTGCCCAGGAGGTGACCACATGGTGTGGCAGACCTCTCCTGACCCGCCCGCTGCTCCCCTCAGCAGTGTACTTCATCGATCTGCCTGCTCTGCTCCCCACTCTGTCTCTGGTGAATCCTCTCACCGCCCCTGCTCCTCTGACCTGTACCCCAGCTCTGTATGCAAATAAATAAATCTTTAAAAAAATAATAATATATCTCATATCTAAATAACTATAACTGAAGTGATACAAATTATTTCTTCTTAGTAATATCCCCCAAAATATTTCATTTAGCAACCTGGGTCAGTGGGTAAAAATCAAGATGAGAATAACAAGTAAAATGAAGGAACAAGAGTAAATGTACCCAACATGCTCATGAAGTCAAAGGACACCCAGATAAGCTTGCTTGCAACCCCAATAGGGTTGCTAGACACGTGGTGGGTTTTGTTTGTATCTGTTTGTTTAGTGTAAAATGAAAGATTTCTAAAGATAGAAGTAAATTTTACTTAGAACAACTGAAGCAGATTCTGCATCCTACTCCTGATCTAGTCACTTAAATGTGACTATGTAAGATTAGCAGGAAACTTTTGCTTAGGTTCTCAGATCCATTGAAGTTCTGACAAAGCAGTAATAATACCTCCTCTCATTCTTACAGTAGTGTCCATTTAGAAAGTGGGAGGCAATTTGGAGCAAAACATTTCCAGCGTACCCTGGGCTTGAAATTTTAAAAGAAAGACAAAGAAGGAATGCCTCATTTCTTATATAATTCTCCACAATATGTATTTGCTGTCACAAATGTCAAAAAGCTCAATGTACTATTCCTAGATAAAAGCTGTGATTATCTTGTAATGAGATGAAACACTTACTGATGAAGGGGACGTCAATATTTTTATCTCAAGATATAAAAAGTGAGGCTCTCAGATGTTAAGCATGAATTTTATGTTTGTAAAAATCATCTCTTTATTTGCATAATTTATTTAAGTTAAAAAAATAGTCCTTCAAAACAAATAATAAGGAAATAGATGTCTTCCAGGATCTCAGGAATATGGCTGCTTTCTCTTGGCTATTGAAATAAACCTCACGTTTTCTTCTTTCTGCTTCTCTCACAGACTTACTGCCAGAGTCTGACCAGAGGCATCACTTAGGAAGACTGACTAGATTTTCCAATTTTTTATATAGGCTCTCTTTCCTATTTTTCTTTAAGGTCTATCAATCTAGTTCACTCTCCTGGAAAATTCTACGAAAGCTTGTTTCAGGATCCATTTACCTTCTTTAGGTGATGTTTCTCTGGAACAAGCACAACCTCATTCATCAGTATCTACTCTCAGCTTGCATTCCCCTTGTTTTCTTCTTATTTCAAAGAAAACAAATATACCCAGCACACTCCATAGTAAGAAGTTGATCTCTTCATGGAAAGACTCATCTTCTACTCATCTTACTATTCTAAAGGCTGGCATATAGCAGGCACTCAATAACTGGTAGATGTAAAAGCCACACTTCTAATACATCTAACTTGGTAAAAACAGGATTTATTTTTTTAATGGAAGAAGTCATCTAGAAGTTGACTAATAACATGTATATATCCTGTATATATGGGAAAGACCCAGAAAAAGGATTTTAATGTCCCTTTCAAAATTTAACAAATTTTAAGTGTTGGCTGTTTTATGCCAAAAAAAAAAAAAAGAAAGAAAAGAAAAGGAACTGAATTCTTATAACCTAGAAAGCATGCCAAGAATTTACACAATAGCTTCATAGAGGGTTATAAAATAAAGATGGCCACCTGTGTATCACCATTACCAACAGGACAAAGGAAGTAGACATATTCCCCAGTGACATATCAGCAAACATTCTTTGATAATGAAGGTTATGAGAAAGGAAAAAAAGGTCATAGGAAAGATGAATTCTAATCTTGGAGACTTCTAAGAAGATGTTTCCACAAATTTGTGTAGGTTAGGTCAGGTGGAATTCTGGCTGGAAAAAAAGGTGACTGAAACGTGAACTCTTGAAGTCACCTGCAGCCTTTTGTCATTGTGCAAGGAATCAAGGGTTTCTATCTACTGCAAGGATAAGCAAAGATGGATGTATGACAGAGGGGTTAACATCCACAGAAACAGGGACCAAACTTACCCAAACTTTCCCTGTCTCAAATAGAATGAAACTAGAAGAAAGCTTCAAACATTATAATTTCAAAGTCTATGTTTTCTGCAACTCTAATTTTAAAATCTGCTTTGTTTATAAGCCACAAGACAAAAAGATATTTCATTGATTTGAACTTATTTCTTAACCTAAAACAGGGATTTTTCTTTAAAAAGCATTAAAAATAAAGAAAATAAAGGGACTAAAAGAATAAGCATGACAAATTTTTTAGGACACTTACTGAAGTCCATGGCATGTTGACAGTGCCACAAATGAGGCAGAATTTCCTCGGATATGGCCCTGGTAGTAACAGTGTTCTCCTCCCTGAAAAATAGAGAACAGAAGCCTTTGCTCAGGGTAAACTCATCTTTTCTGTTTTCTTTTCACACTGCACCTCATGTGGAAAGGTCTGTGCATTATTGCATCATTCAAATTAGTATTATCAAATCATTTCTAACAGAATTATTCATAAATACCCCTAGTGAGTTGACTCCAAATCAAAAGACAAGGAAATAAAAGTTGGCTTAACTTTTCTTTCAAGTAGGTAATGTTAAAAGGAGCAAAGAAAGAAATACTGAAGTATACATATGGTTCTTGCACCAGGATGTATTTATCCTATATAATCTGTATTCCCAGTTAAGAGTATCTCAAACTTGAGTGGAAGCAAGATGCTGCTCTTTCACTTAAAGGGAAGTGAAAAAAGAATAGAAACCATTTGAGAGTCATTAAATTAAACTGATGTTGGAAAATGCCATTTTTTGGTGTTATTATCAAAACTGAACAAGTTTATGTTACTCTTTTCGCCATTCTCTGTAATGGCCTTGTTGGTAAGACATCTGGGATAATAATTTGAAACTGAGAGCTTTCTTCTAGTAGTCAGTCACACTAACTAAATTCCACTGAGGACTCATTCTTTGGATTAAATTTCCTGAAAAACATAGTAGGGGAAATTTTCTGGCAGCTCAGGCTAGTGTTTCAGTCTTTACCCACTAGCCACTCATAGTGTGGTCCAGAGCAATGCTGATATCACAGGGAGCTTGTCAAAAATCTCAGACATGCTGTATTAGAATAGCCATTTTATCAAGGTCCCTGGGTGATTGATAAGCACATTAAAGTTTGAAAAGCATTGCTCTAAGTGACCCTTCCATCCCCCTACTAATCTCTTTTTTTCAGAAGCTGAAAGCTTCTAATTGAATTGATCCTTTGAGATATGAAAGAGTGACATAAGGAGGGCTGATAGAATGGCCAGATTAAAGGGACAAATGTTACCAACCTCACAGTCTGTCTTAAGGAACTAAAACTACTTAAAATATTTAGTGTTTGACAAGTGGAGAGGAGAGAAAAAGAAGACACGTTAATATAACTAATGTAATGAGCCCAAATACATTTCTTTGCTGGAATTCCAGGAAAGGCAGCCCTTGTTTGCTCTCATTTTTTTTTTTTTAGACAACTTTTTTTTTTTTTTTAAGATTTATTTATTTGTGCATACAGAACTGGGGTGCAGGCCAGAGGCTCAGGGGTGGTGAGAAGCTTCACCAGAGACAGAGCAGGGAACAGAACAGGCAGATCGACGAAGTACACTGCTGAGGGGAGCAGCGGGCGGGTCAGGAGAGGTCTGCCATGCCATGTGGTCACCTCCAGGGCAGGCGGGAATTGAACTCATGTGGAAGCGGCTTTAGATTCTCAGTGCTGTGCTTTAACCCACTGTGCCACCAGGGAGGGCCTGCTCTCATTTTTTATTAGGAAATAGAGCGCAGGATGGTAGGTACCTGAGCAATCTCTGGCTCTGTGATACCTCCAATTCAATATCATGAACTGAGAATCATGGTTGTAGTTGATGGAAGACAAGATTTCACTTCGTATTAGGATCTGACAGGGGATGTGACTCAGAATTCCACATTTCTTTGGGGCAGAAACAAATCCAACCCCCAGAGAGTAAGTTGTCAGATTCTTCACTTACTCTTGCTTGAGCTATGTAATCTTAAGCGAATTACTAAAAACTGCAATGTCATCTACATATTTCATAGTATAGCTCAAATTATTAATTTAGTTACTATTCATAAAGGGCTTAAAACAATACTTGACACTCAGTAAACAGTGTCTGCTACTACCACTGTCGATAATTGTGTTATTTAATTTATATATACAACCACCTTAAATCATCTCATCAATCCTATAAAATACAGCATATCCAAATGCTGTTTCTATTCTTGACTCTCATGACTTCTGAGAGTCAATAATGTCCATCTGGGAAGCAGTCAAATAAGTTTGCAAACAGTGAAAATTATAAGAATTGTGGCCTTTTTCCTGCACTATTTGTGAGTTTTAACCAATCTGTTTTGTAGGTTTTGCAATGCAAATCTAATCTTTTTCTTAGGTTAATTTTTGTTATTGTTTACTTATTTCTTTAGTAGGGCTAGAGGTAATTTTATCAGAAGCTTGAAAGTCATCTGGCAAACTGCCCATAAGATTAGAGTCAAAGTGCATGAGAGGTCATTATATTTCAAATGACCTTAATTTCTTGGACATATCTGATTGGACAGAAACCAACACTAACTTTCAATTGGTGAGATGCAGAAGACCAACACTCCAGGAGGGTACCTGGAAAAAGCAAGTTCTTTTATAGTGTCTAAATACTCCTATCAGATCTCTTAAGAGTTCTACGACTAACAGTAAAATGTAGGTATAAAGATAGCAGAAACAAAGAAGAAAATCAAAAGAGTTATAGCATTAGATTAGTATTGACAAATCACTGTTTCTGAGGAAAATATGTCAGAAGTAAAGGCACAGAAGACTTTCCTATATTACTGATTTTATTTTATATAATTTTACTAATTTTATAAATTACTAATATTTTCTCTACTCTCTCTGGAAATATGTAAGATATTAAGTCACAAAATGAATAAAAGTTCACTTTAAAACAACTCTCCATTGCATTGAGGTGAAATAGATTAGATAATGGAAAACAGTCTTTCACTAATTTCTGAATCTGAAAATTGAAATCATTCCAAAAACAACATATGATTAGGACCCATTGCACAAAAGCCTGATATTACAAATGTAATGAGAGCACAGTATGGCTGAATCATTATCAAATGTTTCCCTGATGTTGACAGTGAGGCATAAACACCAGGAGGGGAGAAACTTCTTCAGTTTGGGCTATTAAATTTAAATTTTGAGTTTATCTACTGGTAGCTTATGTAATTCTTATCAGTAATGATGGAAACTGAGGGATTATTGTAAATCAATAGGTATTTAAACTAGGAACTAGATTTTTTTTCTTTAACAAGCTTAGAAATATTTCTTAGTCCAAAGTTAAGGCATAATATGAAAAGGGTTCTTTCACTTACAAAAATCTATTAATATATCATTTCAGTAAATAAAATAAATATAACTTATTTTAAAATAATCTTTTACATGCATTATTTTTAAGAAAATAAATATTTATAGCAAAAATTTTAAGAATTCAGCAGGTATATGGTAAAGAGTAAAAATATCTTCATACACATAGTCTAGGCTATGATTGCTTTCAAAAAGACAAGCAATTTTCACAGATTTTGTACACAATGTCAGGAATCAGTGCACAAATGAGTTTACACTGGTCTGTCACTTGATTTTTTTTTTTCCTTAAGGTGATTTTGACCTCTCTCAATATCAATATTTGAGTCTTTCAGAGATGGAATAATATTCTACTATAGGGGTGACCCATAATTCATTTAAATAGTCAGATAATAATGGACATTTAGATCATCTCCAGTGGCTTCTTTCTCTTTCTGCTTTCATAAATAATATTGAAACAAATATCCTTTCATAGATTTTTGTACACTTCTATCACTACATACATGTGGATCTAGTAGGTCAAACTATCAGCATTTTAAATTTTAAAATTATTTAATATTTTAAAAATAGTTATCATTGCATTTTTACCCTTTTGTTTTAAAAGATTCACTGAATTTTAAATTAATAAAGAATATTTTATTTAAAAGTATATTTCAATAAAGACTACTAATCAAGTCAATTTTTTCAAATCTAATTAATTAAAAAAGTTCTCCATATTGTCATATAATTTTCTTGAAGACATATGCATCACAGAAGTAGGTATTTTATGTGATAATATAATACAGATGTAGGAAAAAGAAAGTCAGCACATCCTTATAGAGTTTGGCTCTTAATCCTCCTGCCAGTCACAGCTTTATTCTTGCTGTCTCTTTTGTTCCAGAAATAAATCCATTGTCCTTGAAACTTTCTTCATACTCCTTGATTTAAGAACATAATAATGCATTTATAACAGCACAGATGTTTATTTTTAGCTAATTAGATAGTCTTTGCTAAAAAAGAAACATTACCCACTTCTATAAAAATGAACTTATATGATAGTTCATGTGTCTATTGGTTTATCTTCCCAGTGGGGAAATAAAGGTCATTGCAATTTTTATTCTAAAGAAGTAAACATGATCATTTAGTTGCAAAAATCAGTAACAAAGGGAATTTTTACTACATAGCCAGAAAGATCTCTAAGGGAAAGTTGAATTTATCATAAGTATGATGAGATGATAACACAAAGCAAGTTACCCTGCATGGATTATAAAACTATGAACACTCAATAATTACCAGGAGCACAGCAGCAGGGCCATGGTCATCTGCCCCCTATTTTGATGCTCAGAAGAAATGACAACTTTATCAGTTCCAAGATGGGTGAAGGAAACCTCTTCCAAAGCTTTCCATGATTCCCCCCACATCACCGCTGATATCCTCTTGTTAACTCTTTTTTTTTTTTTTTTGGAATTTTCATATTTTTAGAAAATCTATGCTACATCTCTCTACTTGCATTTCTGTTTCTGTCTTATGTCCCCATAATGTCTTATGTGTTTCTCCTTTCTGGGAAGCACAAGTGCCTGATCTATGCTTCTATCTCCACATATCCTGTTGGAGAGAGCCTCCCTGAATTCTCTATTATAAAATAGGGATAATATCAATCTAAAATGCCTCACAATAGCAGGGGATCCAGAGGATTTGTAGGAAAAAAACGAGTTAATCAGACTCTTGTTTGCCCCCTACCCTAGCCTCCACCACTGTCCCATGCAGTTTTGCTATGCTCCCAAGTTTCGTTGCCCACCCGTGATATTGTATTGGTGCAAAAGGTGCTTAGGAGCTTGAACAAGAGGCTCACATGGAGCCAAAAACCAGAGGACACTGTGGTGCATACCTGTAAGTGCCAACACTAGGGCCAGAGATCATTACCCAGGAGAGAGCGATAGAAGACAGAGAGGGGGGCGGAGGCTCAGTGTTGCCTGCCTTCCAGTCCCCCTGCCTTACTGCTTACC